CTACCAGTCAGTTGGAAAACAAGCCTTCTGGTTTTCATATTACTTCCTTCTGGGTGTAGGTGATAAGCCCTCATAACGCTCTTCTAGATATGGGAAGAATTACATTTTATGTCCTATTTGGCTGAGGGCCTCAAAGGGATGATGAGTAGACTTGGTTATGGCATTTAGTGCTTTAACAGCCCAATCCTTTGCGTGTTTACTCAGAAGTAAGTCCCATTGTCTTCCCAGATAAGTGCATATAGAATGCAGCTTGATTCCCTTTAGAGCCTCAATTTCATTATTCACTGGAGAGAAAGGAAGGGTAGAGGGTGTGAATACGGAGCAGATGGCTTACGAGCCTCCTGCACTATGTGAAATGAGCATTTCCCTCCCCATTCTCTGGATTCAGTGCACTGCTTCTCCATCTTCCCATCTTCGGCTCGGAGTGGTTCTTCCTCCTCTTTCTTGTCAAAAGTACACCATCTGTTGGGAGAAAAGGGGGGATCTTGACTTAGATCATAGATGTGGCATGCCCAGATGAAAGATGAAGACTCTCCCCAAAATTTTCCTCAAGAACTTGGAGGAAACTGGAACACTCTTCCAGATGTAATTGTAGGAATGAAACCGAACAGGCACGATGGAAGTAATTCTAGGGCTGACACAGGGACGCTTGGGACACTTTCAGAATCTCAAGGTAATTTTTGGGCTAGTTTGAGGCGCATAATTTTGGGCTAGTTTTAGGATGAAGGTGTCTGTCCTTCCAGAAGCTTGATGAATGCAGTGGTGATGGGATCGGGGGCGGGGGAGGGCTTCTGCCTCTAATTATCCTCTTGCATCCTGAGTTTAAATTTGTTGTTGTCTTTCCCCATTAGCTCTGCAGCTCAAGGCTGTAGCCAGCAACCAACTGTTTAACACAGTTGTCAGTTAGAATGTTTCCTGCGGGCTTCCCGGAGTCGTGCTAATTTCGCTCTGTTGGCAGTTCTTAATTGTTTGAGCAAGTAGCAGAACCGCTGAAGAGTCACTCGGTGTCTGAGCGCTCATCTGGCTGGCACAGTGATCTTCTGTGCAAAGGAATAATTGCTCGCGGTTGTGATAACTTACAGTGATTTGCACGTCCCATTCATCTCAGGGGAAATTAGAAATGTTTCCAGCTAGGATTGCAGGTGAAACGGAAAAATCAGAGCAAGCAACTTGGACTTCACTGAGTGTCCCATCAGAAATGCACCCACTGGACAATGCCATAGCAATTCTGCCTTTTTAGTGGCGTATGATAAAGTTTGCTATCATGCTCATGAGCATTTATTGGTTACAGCAATACCCTAGTCTTCAGGGAGGCGGTTTATTATGGCCTGCAAACAGTAGCCTTTAATATGCTGACAAAGCCTAAGAATACTTTGTGGAAGAGAAATATAAATTTGCAATGAAGCCTCCAGTTTCCGAGGAAGTAGAATCCGCAAAGTGTATTTTGCGGCTTGTAGGGACCATTGCAAAAAGCTTAATTGACCAGTAACTAATTTTGGTAGTTTGCCTTCTTGCCTGGAGGCAAATGTTCCACGGCCTGCGTGATCCCATAAAATAAACTTTTTAAGGCCCCTCCCTCCAAACTCAATGGAAATGTTTCTGCCTTTGGCTCGTTTCCGAGGCGGGCATCCCACTTGTCTTCTGTGATCTGGAGCAGTGGCTCTGAATTACCTGAAGCTGACATGCTTGTAGGGGCTTGTCTGTACTTGAGAATCGGCTTAATTAGGCTTGCTTGATTTTGAATAGATTCGTGTGTTGTGCCTAAATTCAGCCCATGTCAACATAATGCAAGAGAATGTAAAAATGCACGGTTTAGGCATAACTGCAAGCTTTACCATGTGGAATATTTACTCCTTATTTGGGGCAAGAAGCAGTGGGGCATGCTGTGCTTGGTAGCCCCAGAGCCATTGCTCAGTCCTTCACCGGCCATGGGGCATTCCTTCTCTCCCCAGTCTGGCCCTTCATGGGGGCTTTGCTGTGTCCCCACTTTGACCCAGCGCCTGGGCCTCCTGCAGCTCCGACCCCTGTTCGAATTGCCAGCCAGCTTTGCTGCGCGGGGGTGATCCTGAGGTGGAGGAGGCTGGTGTGTAGAGAAGCCCAGTTAAACCGGGAATGCCCGTGTCTGCACCTTGGTGTAAGCAGGTCCCCCCCTTTGTGCCGCACGCATTGCCCCGATGGAGTCCTCTCCCAGCGCTCAGTGCCGCAGCACCCACTTGGTCACTGGTCTTTCCAGCCAGAGATGGGAGAGGGCATCTAAGCAGGGGTCCTGGGCATTCCCCATCCTTGGTGGAGGGCGACCTATTGTCTTGCCGTGTTTAAGAGTTACCCAAGGCTATCAGGCTGTTCCGGGAGTGCGGGACTGGATGCCATCTTGGTATGATCGAGCACGGACTGTTCCTTCCATTTCCTGTAATTTCGCAAATGCAGCTGCAGGACTTTATTAGAGGGGAAAGAAATACAGATAAGAAAACTCATCACTAAAGCGGAGCATCAGAATGCACGTTTATTCGTTTCTCATCGGGGATTTTTTAAATAAATGACAAGGATCGTGGGAGAAGGATGAAATTGGAATCCATGGCTAGGCATCTTTTCAAGCGCAACTGAGTTGCCTGAGGTTAGCTGGAATGCTTGAGTGGGGCAGGAAGAGAGAGCACAGAACACAATTCCAGGCTTAAGAAGCCGATTGCCATCTTTATTAAAGCAAATGCAAAATAAAAGTGTGTTTGCTTGCAGTTCAGTGCAGAGCAACTTACTGCTTGTGTTGTCTTAATTCTAAATTTATCGAAGAAAACATGCAGTCTTAAGTACATGTCTGAACAAGTTTTAGAGATAAAAAACCCTGAGATGATTAATTACTTGTGCTGGGATTATTACTGCCACTGCATCAATGGCATCTCCTTTCCAATGTGTTGACATTGCTCAGAGCAGCTTATGACAAGAATCAGGCAAAATAACTCATAATAGGGAAAAAAAGAAATGGCATAAAATAGAAATGGGCTTGGCAGATAAAAGCATTCTTAAATGCAGGTCTACCACATAATAATTACCTGCTTGACAAGACAAACTGTTTCCAAAAGCAGAAAGCTGAAATCATTCAGTAGAAAACAGTCACAGAAGGGGCTCAGTGGATTTCACTGGGTATTCCAGAATTTGGACATGACATGTTTCTGTATCCTTATCTCCCTGATAAGCTGGTTTTCTACATGCAGTGACTTGTGCTTTTTGTCTAGGGGATCCTTCAATTAGGTGAGCACCCGCCCCATTCTGAAGCAGTACAGCTGTTCCAAATGAGGCAGAAGCAAACGGTTTCCAAACCTTTCATTGTCACTGCTGCTTTATGTAAGCCAATTACAGATTAAATGAATTAGAAACTCTGAAATCATGATAGATATTCATCTTGAATGATGTGAATCTAAAGTTCTTAGTCTTGCACCTGTAAATGTGTTGCTTATAATTGCACCTGTGGGTTAAGCTTGTATGAGAAAAATGAAGTGATTCTGTTAGGAGAAAATAACCACAGGTGTAAACAAAACATTTACGGCTATAAGACTCTGGGGAAATTTGTGAAAACTATCTGTATTCTGTAGAACATGACAGATACACACTTCTTTTTCACTGTGTATTTGCATCCTAGGAAGTCATAATTTCTCAGACTCCCCAGAGAAGTCACACGTACAGGAAAAAATTACATGCACTACCAAGTAGGAGACTTGCTAATGTCTAAAGTAGCCCTTCATTTTCAGCAACATGAAGGTACTGAGTTGCTTTTATTTCTGTAGTTTATTAGTTAGTTAATTTTTGGTATTGGCCAATAGCTGACATGCTCTTTAATTGCACTTAATTTGAATCCTGGAAAAGTACTCCTATCAGGTCCAGTTCATATACTCGTATCAGTCCAGCAGTTTTCTTTGTGAGTTAGAATAGGAGGGTGTTGCTCTTTTACTGGACATATAATATACAATGCAAAGTGGTTGAGCCAGGCAGAAACTCACCTGCATTCAAGATGTGTTGAGACGGCTTGGAGAATCATTGTGCGATTTGAGCCCGCATATGGGAGTATTAGCATCTCAAGGATGCCTGAATAAAGCAGGCAGAATCCAGAATGAGATGGGGTTGGTAGACTTTCCTGAGTCTGAAACAGGTAACTCCCTTGCTAAGTGTAAAACAGTAGACCAAGTAAGGCTAGACGTCCAAGAGAATGTAACCGCTACTACAGCATGACATACTGAATGTGCAGGTGTTTTCATACACAAGGCAACCAGGCTAAAAAGGAAAGTTACTCCGTTTCCCCCACTTTGTGGCCGTACTTTGCACCAAAGGCTTTCCAAAGCATCCAATAACTGATACTGCATCCAACAGTGCCTTTCAACATTCACAAGAATGGGTCACTCCTGCCAGAGTTTTTAGAGGGCTTTCCCCTTACATCCCATCTTTCTTGGTGTCTGTCGAGGTATTGTATCCAGTCCGTTCCATACATTTTGTTTACTAGTTGCTGTGTAATAGGTTTCTGTTGAGCTGAAACTAAGTTCAAAGGAGTTGGTTAGTGTGTTGGCCTCAGAACTCACCTCTTCTGGACTGGTTACCTCTCCTTTGCCACGCCTCCCATGGCAGCCATTTTGTGCCAGTGCCTAGGACAGGTTTTCACGTTTCCACAGGATAAAAAGGGGGTACCTCTGCCTGGAGTACATAATGGCTGTGATACCGGGAGGAGCATATGCTTGCTCTTGGGCCAGAACAATTGCTTGGTAAGTGCAAAAATTGGGCCTTGGTGTATTGAAGTCAATGCAGCCTTTTCAGCACGTCAAAAAACGTAACAGTTTTGTTGTGATACGATTGTTGAAGCTTTCATAGCCTAAGATTTTATTTCCTCTCATGAGCATAGTTTGAATGTTGTTTTTTTTCTTTATAGGTATTATTTTGAACTGTGCATAAGTCATGCTCAAGCAGTGTTTTGTGTGTGCATATGTGTGTGTGTAACCAGCATATATTTCTGTTTTCAGATAACTACTCTCATTAACCATAAAGATAAACCAAAGCGGTCAGACAAGACGTTGCGGGCGGTCCAGCAAGTAGGTCAAGCTGTTAACCTGGCTGTCGGGCGGTTTGTCATGGTGGGCGAAGCCATCGCCAATGAGAACCAAGAGCTGAAAGAGGAAATGAGGGTTGCCTGTATGGAGGCCAAGCAGGCAGGTAGGTGGACGTTGCAGCAGCTGTGAAAGCCCCCCAAGGTTAGCTCTCCAAGGCATCTCGGGAGTCGGTGATGAAAGCCATTTAGGGTTGATTGTGTGAGCAGTAGAGTGCTGCAGTTTACATCTTCTTTAGTTTTTGGAACTGTGCCTGAATCTTCCCACAAGGAATTCCTCCAGCTCGGTGTCCCCTGTTCTGCGGAAATTGGACTGACTTCCTGCTGCTGATGAGCAGCCAGCAGGGAAGAGTTGGAGTACTGAACCCACGGAAACTGTGGGATGACGCAGCCCTTCGAAACAGAGACGGCATGCTGATTCCTCAGGGCGCGATCCTTAGCTTCTCATTTACTCAAGACTTTGAATGGGCTGAGAGGGAGAGCAGAAGATTCTAGGTGCCTGGTCAAGGTGGCCAAATCCTGCATTGTCGGGGGCCGTGCTGTTCTTTAGGTGGCAGTGCAAGAAGGTTCCAGAATGAGAGGAAGGCACTAAAGTTTGGGGGAAACACGAGTGCCACAGAGTGCTGGAAGATATCATATGACTGATGCAAGAACTCTGTGTAAACTTCAGAGTAGAGTATGGTAAAACTTGTATGAGGGGAGAACAGGGAGGCATTATCTGGCATGTGTTGAAGGGGAAGAGCCAACGTTTACATCCTGCCCGTCCCCCCGTCCCCCCCGCCACCATTGTGCAAGGACACAACACAACTGAATAGGGCTACTGTGTTGTGGAGATGAAGAGCCTGCGTCTTTCTTGTCCTGTCTTGCCCAGTAACCGCTCGGAAGCGAAAATGCATTACATAAGGCTGCAGTGCCTTGCCCCAATTCCAAAATAGCAGCCAAAGAATTGGGCTAGAGGTGGTGGATCTCCTGGGGCGAGGACAGCCTCCATTGATTAGCCCTTGTGGCAGGAGGGGGGACGCATGGCCCTGAAGGCGTTGGACTGCAGTTCCCATCACTCCCTACCTGGCATCGCCCATGTTGAGGTATGATGGGCATTGCAGTCCAAGAACCTCGGGGAAGCGCATCTTCTGCGTCCTCCGATGAGGGCCAAATCATGCATGGAGATGGAGCCCTGAGGTCACTGTGTGTGGGAGCCCAGAGAGCGTGATCCCCAGAAAGAGTCATTTCAGCCTCAGACTGCCCTGTGCCGCACTTTAAAGACCTGCAGTGGGTTGGCTGGAGAGGTGCCAGGGCAGCGTTCATTTCCCTTGGCCAGGGGTACATTCAGGGCAGCAGTCCTCAAGTGCACACACGCCCGCCTGCCTGCCTGCACGCAAGCACACACACGCACACACAGCCGTCACACAGTCAGAATCTAAAATTTCCTCTCTCTGCCTGCCCTATCTCTGCCTTCTCTGTGTCTCCTCAGAAAGTTTGCCCCGCACTTTTAGCACTGTTGATTTAAGACAGAACCCTATTCTTCGAATCCGGAGCAGTGCTAATTATAGCTCTAATTGCCTTGCTTCATTTATAGGTGAGACGATTGCGCAACTTACGGATGTAGCAACCTTGGATCACCCAGAATCTGATGGCCAGATAACTATATTTACCGACAAAACAGGAGTGGTGAAAGCTGCGAGACTGCTGCTTTCTTCGGTGACTAAAGTGTTGGTGTTGGCCGACAGAATAGTTATTAAGCAAATTATAACTTCCAGAAACAAGGTATTGTGCATATGGGCTCTAACTAACGTGTATGTCTGAGTGAGATGAGTGAGACTGAAAGTTATGCATGGAGCTTGTCCATATTGCATTTTGTGAGTGTGATTCAGCCAAATTCAAGCATGTTTCGGTGCCTGGGATTTCAGTGAGAAGTAGTTAAGCGTACGCTTATTTCCTGTTAAAATAAGTAGAACTCAGAAGTACTTAACTGGCCAGGGTTATGATACATTTGACACTGAAGATTTCCTTCAATGTATTTGGTAGGTTCTTATAACAATGGAACAGTTGGAGAAAGTGAGTAGTTTTCAGGAATTTGTGCAAATATTCAGCCAATTTGGAAATGAAATGGTGGAATTTGCCCATCTTACCGGAGACCGACAAAATGTAAGTAACGGGGGGGGGGGAAATCTATTTATCAACTGTTTTTTAATGTAATGCTAGACAATAACAAAAACATGGTTTTCTTCCCAGACTTGCCTTCTCAGGAGGGAACAGTTCCCTTTAGCCTGTCATTTTCACATTTGCCATTGAAACCTTTCAGTGTGTGCCTTTCATTAGCAACTGATGAGCAGCTGAAACTGAATGTCAAGTAAGAAATAAAACTGCCTCTGAACACTGAGGGTCCATTTGGTATTGTGGCTGGTGGCCAACTGGAACCATCGAGATCAGAACAAGCAAGAGACCTTTGAACACACTACGTACCAATACCTTCTCCACGTACCTGTCTTTATGTAGCCGAACTGGCTCTGTGCATGTGTAACAGGGAGGAATCGGCTGGCTTGAGTGAACTCCAAGGTTTGCAAGGAGCACAAAATGCTCCCTCAATCTTTGGGGGAAACCTTCCGAAGCAGCACAGCCTTCCAGTGAGGGCTGAGCATGTCAGCAGCCATGAAATGCAGGCTGAAGGTTGCCTGGTGGGAACAGGAGGTCCACTTTGCCCGTGAAAGCCAGCTGGCAGGGAGCAGTGGTGAGGTAGGGCCACCTCTGGAAGGCCAGCTGCAAGGGCACTCCACGGGGGGCACTGCAACTTTGGGGGCCTTGGAAGGGGAAATGCCCTTGCTGTCCCTCTGTTGGCCTGCAATGTGGCCAACCCCATCTACATTCACTTGGCATTAAAGGTAAAGGTTTCCCCTTGACGTTACGTCCAGCCATGCCTGACTCCAGGGGGTGATGCTCATCTCCGTTTCCTGGCCGAGGGAGCCAGCACTTGTCCGCAGACGGTCTCCATGGTCATGTGGCCGGCATGACTAGACACCGAAGTGCACGGAACGCTGTTCCCTGCCCACCAAAGTGGCACCTTTTCATCTACTTGCATTTGCATGCTTTCGAACTGCAGGGTTGACAGGAGCTGGGACGGAGCAACGGGAGCTCACCCCGTTGTGCAGATCCGAACCGGCGACCTTTCGCTCAACCAGCCCAGCAGCACAGCGGTTCAAACCACTGCGCCACCTGCAGTCCCTTCACTCGGCATTATACACTGGTTATTCATGCTGTGGGTGGCTGCACGCTTGGCAGGGCCATTCTGTCTCCAGTTCTGCATCGCGTTAACTGACCACCACCAGTGCATCAGCTTGCTGCTTGGCCACGGATGGGATGCACAGAGACCTCAAAGAGGAAAGGCACAGCTTCCTTGGAACTGGTTTTTCAAATGGTCGTCTGTGCAGTCACAAGCCCAGCCACCAGACTCAGGCACATGCTGGTTCCAGCGATTATGGTCTTGCTCCTCTGACCAAGTTTTCCCGCACTGGGCGCTCTCGGGACTGAGGGAGTGGGCAGGAACCTGGGGGGGCGTGTGCGGGAAGGTGGAAAGCCTCATGCCAAAACTTCCTCAGCAGCGTATGGCTCCTGAGCTGAGGCTCGCACAGCTGCGGAGCCTGTGTGTATGAATGCACAGATGACCCCTCAAGGAAACACAGCTGCGGGAAAGCAACCTATCTTTCTTTGCTTTCCACAGGACCTGAAAGATGAGAAGAAAAAAGCCAAGATGGCAGCTGCCAGGGCCATTCTCGAGAAATGTACCATGATGCTTCTCACTGCTTCAAAGGTAGGGTTTTCCCTCTGCTTCTTATTAGGGAAGCAAAGACTCAGAAGCTGCTACCAGGAACCTCTTCCTGGAGAAGAAATGGGTGGAGGTGGCTGGCACAGGGAGGCTGGAGGACTTTCTAAAGGGCTGTGGTAGAAATGCGGACAAATCTATTTATTTATGATCTCCGTTTATATGCTGCTGCAGTAGTCCATACATACTCTGTGTGGCTTATAACAATTAAAAATGTGGAATGCGCTCCCCAGAGAGGTCCGCCTGGCGCCGTCGTTATTTGTTTTTCGGCGCCAGGCTAAGACCTTTTTATTCAAACAATATTTTAACAACATTTAATATGTATAGGTTTTAATTGTGCAGCCAGGGTGTTTCCGGGTTTTAACTGTATTTGTATTATATTTATTTATTTGTGTGAGCCGCCCTAAGGCTATATAGCAAGGGGATGGCATACAAAAACACTAAATACATACATACATACATACATACATACTTACGTACAACAGAACGTTCTAAAATCAACAGCGCTGAATCATTATCAGTGTATCCAAAATAGATAAACAGAGCCCAACAAAATTAAACTATTGCATTGAAATGTTGAATAAAATTATTTAAACCAAAATGAACTGTAAACCAGGAATAGGGTCGATTAAAATCAAGTTGCCACTAAAATTGGCACTTAAAATAGCTGGAGAAGAGCTGTGTCTCCGCCGGGCGCTGAAATGATACTGGCAATGGTGGCAGGAGCACCTCTTTGGGGAGCCTGTTTCGGGGGTTGGGTGCAACCACTGAGAAGGCCTTTCTTCTGGCCGTCCTCCCCCTCTCTCCTTGGGGGTGGCTCCGGAAGGAGGACGCTCACTTGAACTTAACGTATGGCTAGGGACATACGGGGAAAGGCTAATTGGTTGGCTTATTGAGAGGAGGCAGGGTGTGTAGCACATCTTTCCAGCAGGCTGCACCTAAATATCCAGAGAAGGACAACAAAAATGATCCAGGGTTTGGAAACACTGCCCAAGAGGAGAGACTGAGAGAACTGGGCATGTTCAGCCTTGAGAAGAGAAGACGGAGGGAGGACATGATGTCCCTCTAGAAGGACCTCAAAGCTGCCACAAAGAGGAAGGTCAAGATCTCTACTTGCTGATGCCAGAGTGTAGGACACAGAGTAGTCAGTTCAAGTTGTGGCAACCCAGATTCAGGCTGGACATCAGGAAAAGCTACCGCACTGTCAGAGCAACACAACAGTGGAACCAGCTGTCTAGAGGTGGTGGGCTCTCCCACACTGGAGACAAGCAAAAAGAAACTGGACAGCCCTCTGAGTGGGATGGTGTAAACTGGTGTCCTGCAACAGCCTTCTGGCCCCTTCCAACTCTGCTGTTCTATGAATCTATGATCTGGGTGACTGTCGTGAGGCTGGCGCTCCTTCGCAACGAAAGCAATCACTCCAGCTGATACTATAAACGTCTTTATTCTAATCAGTATTACATGTACAGTCAAACAGGATAGAAAGTTGTTCTCTCGTTCTAACTAAGTTCAGCCCACGCTTGGTCTATGAATCCTTTGTGGACGTATCCCCCCCAGGGCGTCGCTCGGTCAGTCTCGATTCTAGCTGCCCAGTCAGCGGGTGTGCCTGCGAGGACGAGGATCCCCCTTGTCCCTTATCTCCTTGGTTGTCACATTCCATATCAGCAGATTGAAAGTCTGTGTTCATGTTTACTCCCAAATTGTCCTGTTCTCGTGCCTCTGTTTTGTCTTCTCTCTGCACCTCCTTATCTGTCCCACTCTTACTCTCAGCATCTGTGAGAATGGGGAGTAAAGTTTGTTCTGCTGACCCCAGAAATAACTCTTCATCGATGCTCTTGTTCTCACGGGAAGTTTCCTCCTCTTGTGCGCATGTAAGGGACTCCTCTGAGAGCGCACACACGACGGTGACTTTTTAAATGTGAATTTATTTTCCAGACTTGTTTAAGGCATCCTGATTGTGAATCCGCACGCGTCAACAAAGGAGCGGTATTCCACCGAATGAGGCTAGCGCTCGAGCAGGTAACGGAGATTGTAACGGACTCTCGGCCCAGCGGAGAGAATGAACCAGGCCCGATGAGCCTCTACACTGTCATCAAGGGATTCAAGGTGAGGACTCGGCAGCCGCTGTGTCGTTTTGTTTTGAGCACACCACTTAAATCCCAAGCTTTAAGCCATGAATGTATGGAATGATACGCCCATAGTCATTTGGCCAGTTAAACCAAATGATGTCAGTTTTGTCCTCTTTGAGGACTAGGAGCTTGCCACGGTGTGACTGAAAGTCACCAAATCGCCAGGCAACCTGGTTCCTACAGATGTCCTCCTTTCTAATGTAGTTCATTGTTCATACGACTGGGTAATGCACAACCATCTATGTGAACTTGACATTTATTTATTACATTGATATCCTGCTTTTTTCCCTACCAAGAAATGCAAGGCAGCTTACATGATTCTCCCCCTCTTCCTCTCAGTCTTATCCCCACAACAACCACCCTGTGAGGTAGATTGGGCTGAGGCTCTGTGACTGGCCCAAAGCTACCCAGTTGGCTCCATGGCCGAGCGGGAACTAGAATCCGGATCTCCTGAGTCCCAGTCCTGTGCACTTCACCACTGCGCCACACTGGCTCTCAGTGCAATTTGGTTCTAATGTTGTAGTTGGTATGTGATGCAGCTGTGTGTACCGTGTATTTCTTGCATCTAATTTGTGTATTCTTGGAGATCTGCATTTTTATGCTGTCCTAGTGATTTTAAATTGCAGTTGAAGTGAACGAATCAGGGGCACGTATGTGAAGTCTCATTGTAGGAGAATAACAATTTGAAGAGTTGTTTCCACCTTTAGGTTTATTAACAAAAGATTCTAGGTGCTATGTTAAGAGAAGCTGGACAGGATGAAATACACAGTGATATTTGGCATCTTAATAACGCTTGCAACGAGAGACTGCAGGTGGCGCAGTGGTTTAAACCGCTGTGCTGCTGGGCTGGTAGATCGGAAGGTCGCTGGTTCGAGTCTGCACAACGGGGTGCGTTCCTGTTCTTCCGTCCCAGCCCCTGCCAACCTTGCAGTTCGAAAGCATGCAAATGCAGGTAGATAAAAAGGTGCCATTTTGGTGGGCAGGGAACAGTGTTCCGTGCACTTCTGTGTTTAGTCATGCCAGCCACATGACCACGGAGACCGTCTGCGGATAAACGCTGGCTCCCTCGGCCAGGAAACGGAGATGAGCACCGCCCCCTGGAGTCAGGCATGGCTGGATTTAACGTCAAGGGGAAACCTTTACCTTTTTTACCCTTACAACAGTTACCCTTACAACCCCACAAAAGAGGTTGTCATGACCATTTGCAGTCAACTGGTGTCACGAAAATCCTTGCCTAGGTTTTAGGATTCATTCCTATCTCTGTTTAGACAGAAAATGCTGGGTGGGGAATGCTAGAAATTGTAGGGCTTTTTGGTCTAAACATGCACAGGATCACGCTGTTAACCTCTGTGCGGCAACAGCCCAGAGAAATTAGCCTTTTTTGACATTAGTGGTTTTCTTTCCCTGCTTTCTCAGAATAAAGTGGAAGGTTTGCGGGACAACCTATCCCTGCTGTCAAAGGAGAACCTCCGGGCAATGCTACGGGTTGTCCTTGAACACACGGAAGATTTTACCGATTCCGCTTATACAAGCCACGAGAACAGGGAGCGCATTTTGCAACTGTCCAAGCAAGCTAAGATGGAGCTGGAGCAGCTGGTGTCGGCGTGGACTTATGCGGTAAGACAGCTCTTGGTTTTTGGCTGTGCTGATAGGCTGGCTCGGGCTTGGAAATGAATACAAGATCAATTTACGCAGAACACGTCATATAGTAATGCTAGCAAGCACAAATAGCTCATCACGGCAGTACAAACTATGGCACCATGAGTGTAATTAACTTACTTGCCAGTTTTCTAAAGCCATTGCTTGTTCATGTATTTATTTCATTTCTATACTGTCCACAGCCGAAGCTCTCCGGGTGGTTTACAGCCAAGTTTAAAACCAACAAAATATAATAGATAAAAACATTAACAAGAATTAAAATTAATTTAAAATAGCATTAAAATGTGAACAGTCAATAAAAAGACAATTTAAAGGACTCAGCCAAGAATAAAAGAAAAGCACCTAGCTAATTGTCTCAGTTCCCTGGCTTACGTGAATTCTGCTAATATTTTTAAAAGTCCAGACATTGTCGTGTTGGACATATCGCTGATCTGTCGAGTTTGCAGTTGTCCTTGCTATTTGTTCAAATTAGCTTGGTAGGAGCCGTGATTTGTGAAATTTGTGAAACAGGTTCATTCATTTAAATATTTAAATAATATTTAAATCTATTTTAGGTCGCTTTTAGGGTAAAAAGTCCCCCAAGGCTGCTTACACAAAATAGCCCTGTGCTTGTTTACTTACAGGAAAGACCCACTGTCTTGAGTGGTGCTTACTCTCAGGTAAGCATGCAGAGGATTGCCACCTCAAAAGTATAAATGCTGTACAGTGCAGAGTTCCACATGTGCTCAGAAGAAAGTTGCACTGCAGCCGAAACTGTTGTATAATCAGAATACTAGAGGGAGCAAGAGCCACGTGTGGCTTCATCTTGTGCTAACCGACCAAGCACATCTTAGTATCTTAGTTATTACCATTGGGGAAGCATGGAAAAAAAAAAGGTGAAGATCAAAACCACTCTTTTAAAAGTAAAACATAGTGTATTCGGTCAGAAATGATCGTATGCAGTCACATACTAAGGCCATGTAGCCTGTTTGGACGTCAGGTTAAACTTCCTGAATGCTGAGCTTGACAATCATACATAGGAACTAACATCTTGTAACGCTTTAGTGGTTTATCTTACATGTTACACTTTTTGAGTTGCAAAAGCTGGCTTTAAAAGCATTTCACGTATTCTCAAATATAGAATACTTTTTTCCTAGCATTTCCCAAAATGTACAGTTTTTCTCTTGGAAAACATGGCATGTCCTCAGGAAAGAAATTGGGCCTCTCCCATCTCCAATTGGGATCCTCATGTGAAAGCAGGAGAGAAGTATAGGGTGAGAGTCAAAGGTTGTGTAACCAGTCTTTTCCCTCCCCGCTGCTGTGCCCTTTAGGAAGCCTGTACGTGGGGCTTGGGGGCCTTCGCCGAACAGTGGCAACAGCCTGGGAAAGAGGCATTGTCCGCTGTCAGAGTGGAGGAACCTTTTGTGTGGCTTGCGGGCCAATTCTTGCAGCGAGCCTGCAAAGTCTGTCTCCCGCCATGCTAACTTCACAGTGACCTGCAAAGTAGGTTAGGCTGAGAAAGCAGCCCAAGATCACCCAGTGGATTTAATATCTTGAACTCGGCTGGCAAGCAGTACAAGCCTGTAGAATCTGGGCTTAAGTTGGTATGAACACCACCTGAGTAGGACTCATTAACAAGTTCTCAGTTAGCCTAAATAAAGGGGATTGTTGTGTGTCGTTCATTCTTGGGAAAAAGAGGCATACTGGCAAGACCTAAATTCTTTAGCCCAATCCTGTATGTGTTTACTACAGAGCAAGTCACATTTGGTTCAGTGAGTGTGCATAGCATCCAGATCTGTTTGTGAAATTGTGTTGTCTTGGGTTTTTTGTTGTTGTTACTACTGTTAGTATTAAAACTTGGCTGCAAAACTGAAGTCAGAATTTCAAGAAATAAAGTTTCTTCTGGCTTTTCTCTAGCAAAGTCAGAAGAAAAAGGACGTCACAGAGGACTTGGAAGTAAACATCTTAAAAATGTGTCAGTGCATGAACGAGCTTCAAAGAGAAGTAAGTGTAATTTAGTATACTCCCCTGCCAAAAGTTTTGGAGCTTCTTGGGCTTTGTTATGTGGAACTCCTGGAAAAAGAAATACCTGAATGAGCAGAGATAGAATCACACAATGGGAGTTCCAACTAAGTGAATCTGCCACTCAGGTGTTTTTTACTGCAAGGATGAGGTAATTACCTGAACAAAAGGCCATGGACTTGACTTTCATGCAAGAGCACAAGTTGATAAGTATAGCTTCAGAATTGGGCTCAGCTCCTCCTGAATCTCGTATTCTGATTTATACATTTTACGGCCCAGCAACTTTCCTGGCTGCTTCCGATGTAGTAGAATTCTTTAATCAGAGTGGGTGAGGAAGATACCTGGAGTGAGGGCTCGTGAGATGCTGTGAGTGTTTCTGTAAAAGAAGGCAGAAGCCATACATACTCTGTTTTATCATGGGGAACTGGAAAAGGAATGCAGGACACATGGACTCGAACTGGGACCCACGGCAGCTCATTCAAGTCTCAGGAACAGTTGTGTAATGTTGACAGGGACATAGGAAGCTGCCTTGAGCCAGGTCAGAGTGTTTTTCCACCTAACCCAGTACAGTCTGCTCTGATAGGCAGCAGCTGCCCATCGTTTTGGGCACAGAGAGGTTTTTTTCCCAGTAACAGTTCATGGATCCTTCTTAAACTGGAGATGACAGAGATCAAACAAGGGACCTTCTACACCCAAAGTAGGCGATTTTCCACTGAGCTATTAAGTGTCTGGACAAGTTGTTTTCAGTGTCTTTTATCCAGAAAGACAAATCCAAAGACCAGAGTAGCTATATTGCTTTGTTGTCCCTTGCAATAACCCAATGAATTAGACCACAGTTGCTCCTGATCAGGAGTTGCCTATAGTAATGCTGCTAATTCATGGCTGAGACAGGTATAATTCAGTGGCCTGGCAGGATAGAAATTGCACTCCAGCAAATCTGGATGGCACCAGCTCGGGGAAAGTTCCTGTAGTTAGATTACGTGGTGCATAATATTGATTCTTCTTCCATGTTAGGGATGGATACACACTACTCTAGGGGGAAAAAGAGGCAAATTATTCTTGCCTGTCTCTCGCCTGTTTTCTGGAACTCTGGTGCTGCTCTTTCTTGGGGAGTAGCTTGCAGTGCTGTGTATAGACCATGCTAAACAAAATATGTCATTCTGTGCTAGGTGAATCCAGCGTCTTCATCAGCAAAAGTTCAGTTCTGTGATGTGCATGAATTGATTATTTCCTTACGTTGTTACTTCTGATTTTGCTAGGAACTTCACAGGGTACTGAAGGCCCACCCCTAACCATCACCTCTGAGATTTCCAGAGGCAGCTACCCACAAGCTTTCAAGCAGAGCTTTGCCACCCTAAGGGTTCACAGCTTAGTATATTATGTAATCAAAGGCTGAGAGTCTCAGCCAGGTTTCTCTATGTCCCTGGAATGCACGTGGCCCTGTGTGCGAAAACTGCCTGCAAGGCAAAACAACAGGGTTTGGGTGCAAAATCATGGGTATATATAATGGGCCAGCAATTCTCATCTTCCTTTGGAAGGGGCCTTCATGAGCTTGAGTGACCTTGGAACCATTTACACCTGTAGTCTCAAGAGTTTGATAGGCAGCTTTCTTCCTTTCTAATCCAGCACTGTTACTTCTGATGTTCTTTGTAGCGTCTTATGCACTGCTCTTTTTCAGGGTGTTATATTAACCCAGCCTTGGAAATGAGTCCACAAAGCCAAGTCGCACATAAAAGTGTTTCAGGAACACCACTACCCAGGCACAGTCTTCAGCCCTTTATAGAATCAAGGAGGAAGCCCGTGAGCTGAAGCTTTTGTTTACACTCTAATCCCCTGGAAGTGACGGTTGTTTGCCATAGCCCACCTCACATAGTAACCTGCTGTTCTGTGTTGTTTCTGGTTTCCAAGCTCCACAGCGTGGCAACATCTGTCGCAGCGGACCTGATCAAATACCATTCCGATCATCTCATTCTGAAAACACTGAAGATCTGCGGGGCGGAGGGCAACATAGAAGCCGTTGCAGAGCATAGCTGTAAGCTCTCCGAACAGAAAGAACAATTGATTGAAGTAAGTCGGGGCCTGTTCATTAAATTGTTTGAGAAAGGAAGGGAGCCCGGACTCTGCTTATTTTTCATGTTCACCTGTGAACTGCCCGGCTGTACTGAGATGTGTGTCCTAAGTATGCCACTGACCCGCTTCGTCTTGGCTACCGTGTGCTTCCTCTTGGGTGGCTGGGAAGACAATAGCACAGCATCCAGGTCCAAGTGCCTCTCCTAAGGTTTGGTTCCTGCCAGGGAGAGCTGTAAGCTAAAATATATATGCTGGTAATTTGGGGTTCCTTTGGCTCTGCGTCTTTTTCCTTCAGCTTCGCCCCCCGCCCCCCAGTGGAATACAAGCCCCAAGAGCTTCTGCAGAGCTGAGCTCAGCCTTTGTGCTCAAGGAGGTCTGTTTCCTCCTCCGTCACAACAGCTTTTCAGGCCGCGTTAGAGGGTGGAAGTGGAGGTGCTGTTCCCCTGTAGTGCTCATAGGTGCTGGGCTTTCTGGAATCGACAGTGATCCCCAATCACTGACCAATGGTAAAATCGCATTATTGGGGAGAGAAATTTGGGGTGGGGGTGCCTGGTAGCTGGCCCCTTCTTTATGCTCTCTTCTCTTGGCCAGTTTTCTCTAGGCACTTCAGGGGCAGCTGGAAGGTTTGAAGGATGGGATTCATTGGGCAAGAAAGAAGCAAACCTCCCCATCTTTGTAGATGTTCAGCAAAGACCCAGGTTTCTGGCAAATGTCAGGTTGTGGGTTTTTGGATGCCTTTCCAAATTCTAAAAGCTCTTCACTTGCCAGCCCATAATACAGTGTCAGGTTTTGTTCGTTCATACTTCTATCAATGGTGGGCAGCTTTTTTCTATTTTCCTTGCCAGATTTGCCACTTACTGAGGCATGTCTCCGGAACGGAACCGTTGGAAATAACCTGCCTACATGCGGAAGACACTTTTCATGTGACTGGGCCTCAGGTGGGGGTCATTCTCACCATGCCGTGTTGGAAGAGAGGCTTTGGATGATCACAGTGTATTTAAGAGGCACTGCACTATTGGTGTTTGGGGAGCCAGTCTGACATCATGGCTAGAGTGTTGGACCAGGGCCTGGGCTCTCACTGAACTGCGATGCTTGCTGGGTGGTTTTGGGCTGGCAGCGGACGCTTGGCCTAACCTACCCCACAGGGTTGCTGTGCAGATAAAGTGGAGTGGAGGAGAACTATGTAAGCAGCCTTGGGTTTCTCACAAGAGAAAAAAGGCAGGGCAGACGTACAGTGAAGTAATACTACTGCTACTACTATTAAACCATGAATGTTTGACTGTGACCATTGCTAATAATTTGAATGCTCTTGCATCGTATTCTCCATCACTGAAAAGAGGAAGCTGCCTTCCCCAGTGTGGGTTGCTTTAGAGCTGTTGAACTGAAGCTCTCCCAATTCCCAAGCAGCGTAGCCGTAGGGAATTGCAAGAGTTGCAGGCCATCTGGAGGGCTCCAGGTTGGAGAAGGGAGGGATGGGGCAGAAACCCTGGTTCCATTCAAGTCATTCTAAACCAGAATGATGGAATCGAACGGCCCTGCAGACGATGTTCGGCTCTCAAGTCCCATTTGCTCTATCTGGAGGTCAAGGATGATGGGTATCCAAAATTATTTGGAGGGTCACAGGGTCTCCAGCCCTGTTCTGAAGTATGGATGATATGAAAAGGGATATTTTCCCATAAGGGGGAAAGGCACGGATGCCCCAAACCGGCTTCCCATGTGCAAACTGTTCTGTGCGAAGAGCCAGCGTTGTGGCTGTGGCGGCTGGTTGGTCGTTTCAACATCTCTTCCGTATACGTTCTGCTCAGATTGGTTCCCAACAAAGCATGGCAGCAAAATATAAACGACTCTTCTAAACCACGTCACGGTAACTAATACTTAGCCAGGTAACGTGGCATCGGAGCAGTCGTTCCATTTCCACCCAAAACAAAGCTGAGACCCCCCTCTGGGGTCACCTTTTAATGAGCTTCAGCAGGAAGTCTGGCCTAGATGGTGAGTGGCAGGTCTCAAAGCTTCCTCCTCTGGTGACAGCAGGGAACCCCGCACCTTTGGCAGCGTGGCAGGAGGAGGTGGGGGCCAGTCCTGGTTTCGCACCCCCTGGCCTAGATAGTTACTCGCTCTGTTACCAAGTTACAGCTTTCCCTTAGTGAAATATATCCCACATTTCGCACCAAATACATTGCAGTTTCACAAAGCAAAAAAGGCTTCAGAAAAATGGGGTTAGAATGCCTTGTTGGACCCCGTGTCGTGTCAGGGTTGCATCCTGTCTTCGTGAGCACTTGGGTAGCTAAACCGCTTTAGGACAAAGCAGAGTCCTGCTGGTGGAATCGCTTTTGCTAACATACTTTGCAGCTCAAATGTAGAACAACAGCTGGGTTCACCTTTGCAGTATCTCACATTTCTAATAATATAATACTTGAACAAGTCCCACTAATTGTGATGGACTTTTTCTTAGATGGAGATATTACTATCTGGAATTATGCATGGTTAATAATTAAAGTGTGCTCTGTTGGTTGACTGAGTTTTAAAAGGCTGTTTGTCAAGGACGATTTTGCACAAAATGCACCCAGAGCAACCTTGGCATTTGTCAGGCCTTGCTAAGCAAATGCTATGCCAGCCCGGTTTCTTCCAGCCTCTGGGGGTGTATGCTGCATAACCGTTCACGTTCCGTGGTGAGCTCTGCTTTGTTTCCTTCAGATCATCTCCGCTGCAGAAACCTTGACGTTGCATCCCTCCAGCAAGATTGCAAAAGAAAATCTGGACGTGTTCTGCGAGGCCTGGGAGTCCCAGCTGAGCGACATGTTGCTGCTCTTAAGAGAAATCAGGGATGTGTTTGAAGGAAGACGAGGTGAGCGCTCTGTTCTTAAATACAAGCTCCCAGTTTACAGCTCCCGCATGTTCTGAGCACTCCGTAACAGCATATGCAGCTCTGCATGTTCCCCCATGTTTGGCATGCTAAAATATGTATATTTAAGTGTGGCGGACAGGCGGATGGGTCCTGAAAAGCAGGGACTTGACGAGGAGCCCCAGCTGGAGCGCGTGCGCTGCGCTTCTGGAGATGTGCCGCTCCCTTTCTGTGATTAGCCCAGCTGGTGCTGGAGTGGCGGTGACGCTGCATGAAGCGCAAGCCGGGCTTCTGCGTATCTGGACGATGGCCGCAACTCTCTCGTGGGTTGATGGAGCCATTTGTGATCTTAGTTTTGCTGGGAGCCTGGGAGTGGCACAGCCCATCTCAAAAGAAAACTTAGTCTGGACTAATTGTGCCCCTAGTTAATAGAGGAGATGGTGTCAGACCATCCCAGCCCAAGAAATGCTTTCTGCTTTGACACCTGAAGAACCTTTGTGAGAATGTGCTTGCGGGGGGGTTTCATCTGGTGAGCCTAGCAGCAGCCCCCCCCCCCAATAAATTGGAAGACATCTCGGGGATCTGGCTTAGGTTACATATTGCAGCAAAGTTTTCTAGACAGCTTGTTCCAGACTCCTGCTAAACTTCTAAGGTGCCCGCAGCACGTTATGGTTTAAGCAGGGATTATTATACAACGGGGGCATTTTGTGTGCCTTGTTTTTCATGGAGGCACCACAATAAATTTTCAAGCATTAACTTCAGGGAGGGCTTAGTAATCCAAAGCAGTTGAAATGTGTTTCTGACGAGAGAGCGGCAACAAGACCTTCCATTCTGATCTGACCTGTCCAGCATTCTTGCAAAAGAAGCATTCTTTATTTCTCTGCTGTTTGCTCTCATTCTACTCGCTTCACAATGTAGTGAATGTAGCTATTTGATTTTCAAACTTTCTGCTGTCCTTTCTGCTTGGATTGGGATCTCTCTGATGATTCTTCACAACTTTTGGCCTATTTTCTGTGGTTGGTAAGTCACCTGGTATTTGTGTAGCATGTAGAAAAGAAACTGTAAAAAGAGACAGTCTGTCCCTTAATGTGTTTGCCAAAGGCACAGTGGTATTCTTTGCCAAGAAACTTTTCATTTCTAAGCGTAATTGTCTTCAGAGAACTCTGTCTTGGGCTTTTCCATTTCGGGGAAGAAACCTCTTCCATCAGATTGTGCCATTCATGTTATAGAAATATAATCTTTGAGCTCTTGATACAGTGGTGTGTTTGATGGAAAACAATCACTCAGGGCAAAAACACTGTGTTTGAGGTTAGAACATGACTGGACACATCAAGGTAGCTTTCAGCCTCTCCAGCCACTGCAGGGAGTTGGTCTCACCAACCTTCCCAGTTCTTAGTGCAGTGCCTCGTGGAAGGCCAGGATGCATCAGATCCACACATGTGCTGACTGTTACGGACTCCCATGCCTGTGTGGACAACACTGTCCTTCGTAGGGACCCAAGCCAAGATGAAGATTGTGGGTTTAAGATGTTTCTTTCTACTCACACCATGTGAAGACTGTAGAAATGTTTACAGAGAAGAAGCCTTGCCGTATTTCATCCACCTTGATTTGCTTATCATGTTTCTTCACTGCCTGATAGCCAAAGCTCTGTTTTGTGGCCCTTCCCAGGTTGCAAGCTCTGCTCTGCAGCTTTTTCCAGAGTCAGTAGCAATTGGCTAGTGTCTGTGACCCTGCTCGCTGGGACACATACTCTGCAATTCTTTTTGCCCTCTGGGTGTTCGAAGGGGAAATAAGGGCAACGATCATCAACACCCAGCATGACACTTTAAAAAAAAGGAGGAGGCAGGGTACCAGAATTCGATTTACACATTCGTTGTGTAAACTGAAGTCATATAGAAGCTGAGCTCACATCAGACCGAGAACAACGCACCGTAGCTTTGCATCCAAAAGGCAGATCCTCATGCAATCGGGGAAGTTTCTAGGTAAACTCCAAGCCATGATTCATGTGTTTTGAAAAGTGGTGTGGAAAAGGAATCTCCAGAGGTGCAATTTTTCTGCAACGGTAGAAAATGTGGCATCTCTGGAATGTTCCCCTTTAAACCGGTCTATTCCAAAGCTCCTAATTATGGCCAGACTAGATGGCTCAGAAGGCCCCTTCTGACTCGCTCTGTTTCTATGTTTCTAATTATGTTCCTCCTGGTCCTTCTTTGCATAATGGTTAATCAGGCCCAGGCCAAAGGGAAATTTTATTTCCTATTGGATGTTTTGTTTTAACGGTGCTATCCAACCTTGCTGGTGCCCTATATGGATTCCTTGGCTCTTAAAAATGGAAGAAGTTCCTTGAGTCCTGTTTAAAAAGCTTTCTCTTCCTTTGTCCTGTAATGAGCATTTGATCAGGTGTGTACATGGAAGGAAAAAATTAAGTGCAAATACCGGCCCAGTTGGGAAAGTATGAATGAGCACCCTTTGAAAATAGCATAGTGAACAGAAGAAAGGAAAATAGGTTCCTACTGCACCTGGTTTTTCTTCCTCATTTTAGTTCCTGAATTAAATTTACATTATATAAATTTATATTTATATTTAATTAAATTTTAAAAAAACTTCTACTTTGGTCTTTTGAGGCCTTGGTTCTGTTTGATGCAGCTAACGCTGCACTTCTGAAATGGAAGACCCATTTATGTCTATTATGATTTGTATCTTTACATGGGGGAAAAACATTTCCGTCTCATAGAATTAGATCCTAAATTGAGATTGCAGTTTAAAGAAAGTTTAGTTCTCTTTCAAATGACCACAGTTAGTGTAAATAACTTTCTGCTTTACGCAGAAACTGTGTTTCCTTTAATACTTAGCTGCTATATGGGAGAATTTGGCCATGTATAACCCGCACTGAAATTGGTGGGGATGGTTAGTCATGAACTGAATTATATTTCATGAATTTGTAGTGAGAGGTTAGCACCGCCAGCCCTCTCTGGATTAGGGCCCAAGTCTGAAGGGTGGATGCGCGTTCATAAAAATGCCGTGGATACATGGGGAAGACCTGCAGTCGCTCTCCCCAACCTCTGTGCTCTTGGCCATCAAGGCAGAGATGTGGAATGTCTTCTCTCACACAGCACGTTGCTGTCTTGTAAGGCACTTGTGGAAAGCCAGCAATGCTGTGGCAAACACAGTGTCTGTACAAAGTACAAGGCAGATCTAAATATTTAATTTTCCCAACTGAGCCAACTGATACCTGCATTGCTCCAAACGAAGGAGGTAGAATGAATATTTGATATTTTTCTGTAGCTCTTTTCAATTGGAATCTAAACCCAAAGCACACCTTTCCCCTTTAGGATCGAATTACGCCTAAATGACCTTAACTTTCCATATTGGTAAATGGTTTTGCACTTTAAATGTATAGTATGAAATTGCCAACAAAATGTTTGCTTTATTTTCTAGGTAGACCTAGGAAATTTTACATACTATGCAGCTAAAATCTGTTGAGTTTTTGTGCATTTATGCAATGACCTAAAGGAGAATGGAGGACAGGAGGTAGCCTTCTAAAACAATTTGCAATGTTTTGACGATATTTGGCATTCAGTGCAAAACTTGAATCATGGGATGACACATGTTCTTTTTTCAACTCTGCCTTATTCTTCTGCAAATTAATTTTGCACAGACATTTTAGAGGTGAAAATTTGCCCCTAGAACTAACCTTTCTCTTGAGGGGAAGCAGCCTAAAAAATACTTATTACATACAACCAATTTATTATGTTACTTCTGAGAGGGAAAGATCACTTTAAGACAGGCCTCCCCAGCCTGATGCTCTCCAGGTATGGGGTACCACAACTCCCATCATGCAGGCTGGAAATGATAAGACTTGTAGTTCTAGCACATCTTGGAGGGCAGCCGGTTGGAGAATCCTGTCTTATATTAACACTTATACCCCAGAAATCATTTTTGAAGGTTTTGTTTAAACATCTAAACACACATAGTGTCATGGCCTTAGATGATCTTCCCACCTGACCTATGAGCAGACCTGCTGCTTATGGATCAGTGGGGATTAGTATTTGTCTGGAAAAGAAGGAATATAGACTGAGCACCCTGCCACTCCAAGTTTTCTTCTAACAGACTGTTTATTTAATGCCTTTGCATACCAGCCGGTAGCCAAAGGAAGTGGTGGACACTGCACAGCCTGAAAAACTTTATCTCCCGCAAGACTATGCTGGAAAAAAGCTGTGCTGAGAGGAAGCCCTGCCCAAACGAAGCACTTTGAAGTCTCCGACTTCTAGGCTTGATTTTAAGCACATGTTCAGTTCTCCCACAGAAATTAATGCGATATAATACATTTAACCAATCCAGTATCTTGAAAGCAATCCAGCTGCTACTAGTTTTCCAATCTGATTTTTAAATCTGTTGTCTGCTTCAACCCATGACTTAACACCACATCCTCTTCCTCAGCGCTCACTCAATTCTACCATCACTGCATTGATCCGGCTTTTTCCCTTTCTGTAAAAAAATCTGGGAGCGCATTCTGGATATTGGGAGGGATATCCTTGATTTCTTTGAAAGAGTTAAGTTTGCAATTGCATATTTCTGCTCTCGAATAAAGATGTCTCTATGCTGGAAGTGGGCTGAATGTTTGGGGGGCTAAGCCCCCTTCATGTCACCCCTTATTTTACAGACATAGTATTTTTACAGTAATGTAATTTTTTCAGCTTGTCACTTTACAAATGGATTTGATATTGGAAGAGAGATAGAAAAGGTCTGCTTTTAATGTCTGTGAGGCAAATGCTGTTTGCTTTTGATGATAGTTAAAGACAGAAGAGCAACCAAAATGTGCTGGACACATTCTAATAAACCGAGTGTATTTTTACAGTGATCTGTTTGGCTCAAACGTGATCTGTGTTTTCCTTACTTCATGGGAGAAGCAAGAGTACCACTGGTTCACCTGGCACCCCAGCACACTCTCCATCACTTGTTTCTCAGCTCCCTCCTTGTTCTCAGCTTGTTCCTGTTTTCCTTTTGCTAAGTATTTTTCCTTTCCTTGGCCTGTTCAGGACTTTTGCACCTTTGAAAAGCTAGGAGTGAGTGAAGGGAAGAGAAACACCACCAAAATCACGGTTGCTTCTGTGCGCTTTCTGCTGAAGTACTTGGATTTTGGCAAGGACCAGAGGTGGAACATCGATTCTGACTGAGTTTTGAACTGGCCCAGTGTGATTACGAATGCATTTCTAGCTCCTACCAAGCAGTGCTCCACCGGTTTCTCTCCCCTCACTTTCCTCCTCCCTCTGAAATGGATGATCTAGAGCAGGGTTGGGAAAACGGCAGCCCTGCAGGAGTTTTGATCTCTTATAACTCCCAGGATCCCTCACTATTAGGCTTGCAGACTAGGACTCAGAGGAGATGGTAGCCATTTCGCTATTTGGGCTACAAGTTGCCAACTCCTGGACTAGAGGGGTATTCCAGTATTCTAAATGTGGGATGTCTGGCAGATTAATTTTTTTTCTTGGTCTCTGGGACCAAGGCTGCTACTGACTTGTGGCCTGGTTTGCAAACGCTTGCAAGGAAGGAGGAAATGGGCATGCCCCCCCTTCTCATGCATCACATAGGACGCAACATGCCCCCCCTTTTTAAAGGGTCAAGCGTGCCAACCAATCGTGGGAGGGAATAGCAGCATGCCAAGCTGGCCTCCCTGTGTATGGAACATTACTTGGTATGTGTGCCCTAGGCAGGTGTGTTTATAAAGACTTTCCGGTAGCAAATCTTTCTTTACATCTCACTGCAAAAGCTTCAAATGCCCGATCTTTTAGTGTACTGCAAATGCAGATCGCAGATTAATTAATTTGCCTCTCCAAGTGCCATTTTGAATCGTCTTGAAGAGGTAACATTCGCCTGTCAAACCTATCTGTTCTGCAGTGAAAGAGCAGCTCAGATGTAATTACATCAACCTTGTAAACAAGTCCCTGAAAATAATGGGCTTCAAAAGACTTTTGTGCAGACAAACAGGGAAATGTAGGTAACTAGCTTTCTACCAAGCGAGTAAAAACATCTCTTTCACCGAGCAGAACAATCTGTCCTTGTTCCACCAGCCTAAGCGCAAAAGTCAACTGGGTTAGTGGGGGAGAGTGGGAGCCGTCTGCCCTTCTTTCCCTGATAACCCAGTTCTGTCTTTCTGGTCATCTGTGGCTACTGGACAAACTGCTAAATAGAAGGCTGAAATAGATGGGTGTCAGGTATGTGAAAATTTCTACTCTGAATGCCAAACCCCTGTAGCCCTTCTACATGCCTCCAGAATCCTTCAGGTGACGTTCATTTGATCTCAGGAGATGGGACAGATGCAAATTTGAAGCTTCAACCAGCTCACTTATCTTTGAAAACTACTGCTGTAAAGCAAGTTAGATAGATAACTGCCTATGTATCCAGCCATGGAAATTGCTGGGAGGGGAGACGCTATTGTAGCTCAGACACGGTATGGAAATGGTCAAGGAAGCTTGCTACAATCTGGCATAAAGTCTGAGGTACTAACTGCCCTGCTATCTAAACTGGTTTTTGGGGAGATGTCTAAATTAAGTCACTGCCTCGTAAAGACATTTCAAACGGTGATTGATGTGATAAAACAATACTGGCTATAGTCAGCCAAAATAAAGTACTCTAAAGCCCCATTGATTTCAATTGGATAAAGTACATGGACCCAGATACCTCTGGCTATAGAGTGACTCTTAAACTCAATAAATTAAAACTGAATTTGGTTTCAAGTGGAAGAGATGCTAGCTCATACTTATCCCACTGAAATCACTCCTATGCATTGCTGCTCAGAAGAGGCCCAACTGAGCTGAGCCTAATCTGATCAGTTTTGGGCAGCTCGGGATTGTGTCGTTTAGAGAGGATACCCCAAATGCTTCACATTCTTTATCTCCATCATCTCATCCTCTTACAGCCAGCAGTTTGGATGGAAGCTTGTAACATCAGGGCTTACTTGTAGCCACCTCCTAACTTTCACAGCTTAAGGCGAACATTGAACTCTGGATCTCTTAGCTCACTGCCCATTCTCTTAACTGCTGCAGTAGTTCTTGTCTGTGATGTTGACTTTCTCTCCCCTGTAAAATAGTTTTTCTCACTTGGGCAGTCAGAAAAAGTAATGGAAGATTTTAGAAATGCTCTCATTGAGGAGGAGGCATTTCTACTGAAATGTCCAGGGTTCCAGGAGTCCAAATGTAAACAGTAGCAGAATTTCCCTTTTTTATACTGAATGCAGAATGCAAGTCCTTTGTGATCAGGGAAGAGGAATCTTTAGAGGTAGGTAACTTTAAAAAATACTTTAAAAGCCTACAGAAATGACACAAGATGTGCAGTGTATGGATGAAATCTACATAACCAATTTTGATATGTTACTCTTAGGAGAGAAGCGTGCATACCTGTCTCTGCCCAGGCCAGGGGTAAGTTCACTTTTAGGGAGGTGGGGACAGCCTTACATTTTTCATAGGGTGACAAAATTAATTCCCTCCATTCCTTCTGCCACTGCCTCATTTACCCCCTTTCCTCCCAATGACAGAAGCAAAATGTCAGCTTTATGTGTGTGCAGGACAGAGAAACCTGTCTGCATTTATATATTCTCTTAAGTCAAGTTTTGAAAAGTGAAGCTCAGATAATGCAGTTTGCATTACTGCCAGCGGAAGTCTTTTCTCCTGTTGGAGGATTATGAAAGAATGTTACAGAGAACTCGTGGAGCCTTCTGGGCAGGGATCTGGAAGGGACCTCAAGGCCGCTGCATTTCCCTCCTGCCAAAGCATTGGCAAAGCAAATTGATGGCGACAGTGTCCGAGAAGGCCCATTTTGGGGGACTGATGATGCTATTTAGATGCAGTCTAATTCATCGTGGGCTCGCTGCCCATTACATAGGTGACCTCCCTGACCTGGTGCCCTCCGAGTGGACTGGTCTCGAGTGCCCACTCAGCAACGGGGGGGCACCATGTTGGGGAAGGCTGAAGCGGACAGTTCTGAGCTAGATGCTGTGACTTCGCCTATTTGTAAGAGAAAGCAACTTGTACCAGCAAGCACATAGTTCGTATTGTGTACAGTGTGTGCCTGATGAGTTTTCTTTTCCTTTTTTGACTTACTCAAACGGATCTGTATGCTGCGTGACATGATTAAAAATGTCCCTGCTGGATGGCACTTAGCAGCAGCACTCGTCCACTGACCTCAGGCTTCTGGAGCGTCTTCCAGAAGCAGCTCCACTCCACCTCCCCACCGCATCGCTCCCCGTTCTTGAGTACAGCTTTGCTGGGCTCTAAAGCACAGATAGAGTCATAGTAATGTTGGGACGAAATGCCATTTAGTAAACGCTTTCTCTAAAAATATTTTTTTAAACAGAAGCATAATGCAAATTTGAAAGCCTTAAAGCAAGTCAGGCTTGATAGTGAGGTAAGATGCTCGTTTCATAGCTAGTCCAAATTTGCTCAATTTATTAGCTGGAGTAATAGAATGAACAGAAGGGAAGTAACTTTTATATCATTTTCAGGAGCAAGGAAAGCTTGGAAAATTAGGTTTAGAACTACAAAAGCTGACAACACGTGTAGACTCTGAGATGGAGAAATGGGAAGACCCAGAAAATGAAATTGTACGGCATGGCCAAGGCCTTTCCAGCATGGCCTATTCCATGTACCTCTTTACAAGGTAATAACCAAAGGAGCAGGGAAGGAGGAATATTAGAAAGAAAACAGTTTATAGCAGATAAAAATCATCCTTTGACTTTAACACTCTCCCCTTGTCAAAAGCTAGATTCTGTTTTCCTTGGAATTTGACCTTTTCGTTGCATATGTTAATTCAGTGTCTAAACTAGGTATAGATACGTGGCTTGAACCTGAAATGTAAGTTGTGTTGTAGCATGCTGTTTCCCCACAGCATTGGCTGGCTGATATCACCTCACATTATCTTGCAAGCCCTGCTTCATGTTGTTAAGGGGCAGATGGAACTTAACACATGTGGTTGCCGGTTTTGGAGCAGTCACACCTTTGTCACAACATCTAGTTTAGTTTGACCCTGAAAATCACCATGTAGAAAATGACAGTGCTATATAAAAACACACGTACTAAATCTTTTTGCTGTTGAAGCGAAATGCAGCCCGACCTGACTGTAGAAACTAGCCAGATGACTTGAGGAAGCAGTACTTTAAGAGCACCAATGAGAGCTTGTGCAATCGGGCAGCCGTGCCCCAAGATCTCATCCGGAACTGAGGAAGATACCGGGAGATGCCACACAGCTTAGGAGTTCCACCCTGCCATCTTCGGCAAGGTTGGAAGACGTCTCGGGGAGCCTGTGTTCCTAACGGCAAAGCAGGCATCTTTTTTCCTTTTCTAAACCTGAAGGAGACCAGGGAAAATAAATATAATTGCAGGGACGTCTTGCTTTTGTGTTGCATATTTGCAAAGTCCGTTCTTTTTGTCATGTGGATATCCAAAACACCTGCAGCCCAGTCCTGTGTAAGTTTCCTCAGAATACAGTGGGACGTATTCCCAAATGTGTAGTCCAAGCCAACACAATTAATTTTAAAGAAGTCGCCACAAAAACTGCTCTTGGGTTGATAGTGGAGTGATGCCAAATCATCGGTTTCCTGTATTTTTAGCAAGGTTGATGCCCAGGCGTGAACCAGGGCTTCCAACTCAGGCTGTCAAGGTACCAGTTCCTTTCCTAAACAAGCATTTTCTAAACCACTGAACCCCCTTATTTTTTCTTTCGTTAGTTTCCGACTCATCCAGAATTATTTGCTTGTAGATTAAACTGTCTTTGCTCTTATTGGTGGAATTATTTCTCTGTTCTCTTTTCCTCTCATTTAGGGGTGAGGGACTGCTGAAAACCACCCAAGACTTTTTTCAGCAGGCAGAGGTAATGAAGCAGCCAAAATGAGTTCATAAGCTCCTTCGAAATGGCTGTCAGCAAAACGTTATTAAGACGTCTAAATCCTTGAACAGGTCTAAGGTCCTGAGCAGAAATACCTAGCAGTTAAACATTGGAGCCTGTGGTGCTCACTGTGAAAACAGCTGCTCAAGGCTTAAATTCATATTTTTCTTCTGAACCTTATTCCTCCAGTGGAGCAATGTAAATTTTAAAAATTGTACTTTCTGTTTGAAGATGCTGCACTGGAGCCGAGAGGGGAATTGGGGCTTCCTTCATTCACTGCGAGTTAATTTTGCATCCTTCCCCCAATTGTATTTGGGTGAGGAGGATGTTTTTTTTATCACCACCCACACTTGGCAATTTCCCTTGGAGGAGCCGGTCTCTCCACCCCCAGTAACCTCATCATTCCAACCTGCCACACAGAACAGACCAGAGAAAGGAGTGGGGCTGTCTAGTGGAACCGGTATGTGTTTGGAACGATGCTGCCAATGAAAAAGCCCCGGCACTGGTGCAGTTCGTGTGAGCTGTAACTCAAGCAGCCCATCAGCTGCATAGGGCAGCTCGTGAGGGGTAGAGAGTGCCCTTAGTTTTTTGCCGGCCAGGACTGGAAAAACAAGTGCCGTGTTGTTTTGGGCTACGCTTGATTGATTGAATTGGCAGGCTGGTTAGAGAGTTGAGGGGAAACGAGGGCTTTTGTTCTTGGAATTCTTTCTAACTTTCTTCCCTTTTCTGCATTAGGCCTTTGCCGCAGAAGGATTAAAGCTTGTTTCGGCTCTTCTTGCATTTTCTAACCAGGTATGGAACATCTTTCCATTAAAACTTGCTTTATAAGCCCCCTAAAATCTCCTGTCACAATGCTTTAATGCTAGAACTTGCTGGCCTTTGCTTTTCAGGATATAAATTACATAAATTCTGTACAGCTCTGTCCAATGTGGCTGACCTTAACCCTCCAAATGGAGAGATTGAGGAGTGTCCCGTAGAGGGTGTGGAAGGATCCTGATGGCAGAGGTTACTTCCACAGTTCTTCCATGCAGCAAAGGCCATCTAAGTCCTTTGCCCCAGTGCACGAGGAGCAGCCGCTGAGCTCCCACCGGGATGCATGGCCCTGTGGCAGAGCCGCAGCCCACTGCTCCTTGGCCCTCAGGACGCCCACCAGTCTCCGGCTCCAAGGTCAGTCTTCCAACAGCCACTGTGTGTTCTGTGGCTTCAAGTTGTGCTTGCAGTTCTTTCTGCATGGCAGAGGGAGCAGCAAGGTTTACCCAAGGACAAAGCCCTTACTTAGCTGTTGAAGGCCTGGAAAAGGACAGAGGTGACTTTCACCTCCAAACTCCTGCATTCTAGTGGAAGTTTAGAAAGTTATGGGCAGCCACATGGGAGGGGTTCTGAGCTCAGACTCTTGACTTCTCTGGCCAGCTTGCCTGTCTAGTTGGCCACAAGATTTCACTCATGGTGTCCACGTGCCTTCGTGTCCGACTTCTCTTTCAGCTGGAAGACGATGACAAACCGTTGCTTCTGCAGGAGATTGACAAGATGGTCCCTGTTTATCAACAGCTTCAAGTAACAGCTAAAACCCCAGTTCAGGGCAAAGCGGCAACTTTTGCAAAGGTAACAAACTATCTAATAGGTTTTAAACAAAAGATTTTTTTTCTATGTAAACATTTTCCCATTTTATTTTTGTTGCTGTTTCTGAATTGTTGTTGTTGTTAGACGCGAAGTCGTGTCCGACCCATCGCAACCCTATGGACAACATTTCTCCAGGCCTTCCTGTCCTCCACCATCCCCTGGAGTCCACCTAAGCTCACACTGACTGCTTCAGGGACTCCATCCAGCCACCTCATCCTCTGCCATCCCCTTCTTCTTTTGCCATCTATTGTTCCCAGCATTAGACTCTTCTCCAGGGAGTCCTTCCTTCTCATTAGGTGGCCAAAGTATTTGAGTTTCATCTTCAGTATCCAGCCTTCGAAAGAGCAGTCAGGGTTGATCTCCTCTAGGACTGACCGGTTTGATCGCCTTGCGGTCCAAGGGACTCGCAGGAGTCTCCTCCAGAACCACAATTCAAAGGCCTCAATCCTTCGGCACTCAGCCTTCCTTATGGTCCAGCTTTCACAGCCATACATTGCAACTGGGAAAACCATCGCCTTGACTATACGCACTTTTGTCGGCAGGGTGGTGTCTCTGCTTTTTAGTATGCTGTCTAGATTTGCCATAGCTTTCCTCCCAAGGAACAAGCGTCTTTTAATTTCTTGGCTGCAGTCCCCGTCTGCGGTGATCTTGGAGCCCAGGAAAATAAAATCTGCCACTACCTCCATTTCTTCCCCATCTATTTGCCAAGAAGTGAGAGGACCGGATGCCATGATCTTAGCTTTCTTAATGTTGAGTGTCAAGCCAACTTTTGCGCTCTCCTCCTTCACCTGCATCAAGAGGCTCTTTAGTTCCTCTTCACTTTCTGCCATGATGTTTCTGAGTAGCATGTAACAAAACCTAGTATTTGGTTCTGCATCTTGAACCTTGAATGGAACCATTCTGAAAGTCTTGAACTTGGTTGCCATCCTGAATAGCAAACCTCCTTACAATTGTGCTGCAAAGATTGAAACACAGATTAACCAAGCAGCTCACGAGCCTTCTGGAAATAAATTTTGTGCTGAACAAGTACCACTAAGTCCGCAAAGAAATGTGGCTCTCAGACTTTATTTTTAAAAGACAAATCTCTTTATGTTATCACTGCTTGTAAAAAGAACATCCAGGTATCGTTCCTGCATTTTAAAACGTGGCTCAAAAACTGACGGGTAGCATTGTCTCGTGAAGCTCATCCCGGATGGATCAGCAAATTGCTAACTTCACAATGTTAATAAAAAGAATAAAGATGGTTTTCCTTTCTTAATAGGCTCTCTTAAAAGTATGTGTGTCAGCATCTGTGCTTTGAAGAGAAGCTGTTACCTTTTTAGGAAATCTAAAATAAAAAGTCAGTTTTAAGGTGATGAAAACTTCAGGACTTTCGGCAAAAGGCCAGAATAGGTGAATTAGAGTTGTGGAGGCGTGCTCTTAAGCTCTGGTTTCTTGCTTGTCCACTGCAGTGGGGCTTGTACAAGAGAAATGGTTGAATTAAGACCTTGACTTCTTTTGGCACAAGGAAGAAGAAAAAGTCCTAAAGGAGGGAAACTGTAGTGGAGACTGCGCTGCTTATGAAAGGGTGCTTAAGGGAAGTATTCAAAACAAGAGTAGTTGTTTTACATGGGCATGTTTCAGTAACACCCCTCATTTGCTCCGTATTTAGGTGGACACCTGTATTCACAAAGCAAAGCATATTCTGGATGTCCTTGCCCAGGTTCTTCCACTGAGCTGCAGGTTACTAAGAAAGGTGAGGTGACGTGCGTGTAGCTGGGGCAAGATGAGGACATTTCTGGGTCGTGTGCTACTTTATTTTTGATCAGATGTATTTATTGCAGCACAAAGCAGGAAATGGCTATCTTAGAGTACATCATCCATGGAAAGAAAATGGGCTGCATGCAGCCACACGAGAAGGCAGAGGTCTGGCTGGGGGAACGGATGCCTTTGGGATCAAATCCTTGGAACAACATGTGGCGAACCTCACCGTGTTGGAGAACAAACAGTTCTAAGATGCTTTTTTAGGAATGGAAAGTTTCCCATAAGGGAGTTGTACACTCAGCCTCTCCTAATTGCTTTCTTTTGAGAAAGGTGAAACCGGGTTAGAAAAAGCTGCTGCAACCTTTTCACATCTAATAGATGTCACGGTACTTGGCAGGTAACAAAAGTGAAAGCCAGCTAATGGCTGCCTATTTTTGTAAGGTGAATAACTTTGGGTTCACTGTTAATACTGCTAGTTATGTAATCACGTACACTTATGAATGTCTTACTCTTCAACCCCAAAGATGCTGCTATGGATGCACATGGACTTAGAAATGCTACATGAAAAACTACTGGTATTTTTGTTTTGTTTAATCAATATCCTAGTGTGAGCCTAAGACCGTATTCTATAAATAGTTGTTGTGCTGGGCTTAGAAAAGGGATGCAACAGAGGCTGGACTGGTGTCAAAGCTCCCAGCCAAAAGTGGCCCATCACGGATGCCGCTCTTTCCTCTTGGCAGGTGATTCTGGGGTGGAGGAAGAGGCAGGTGGCGTCTCAAAGGGCTTAGGTCCAGAGGGATCCCTGTTGCTCTCCCTTAGAAGCAATAGTTACAAGAAAGCTTTAATAATGAAAGCTGCCTGAAAGCCTCACATTTCTCAAATACATTTCCAGGCTTATTAAACAATTAAATTTAAAAAACCCTAAGTACTGTTAATGAGGCCAGCTACAATTAAGAGCTTGCTGTTGTCTTGCTCCTTTGTGTATGATGCACAACTTTATCAATTCATGGAATTTTACAGGATTATCTAAGCAATGTTACCAGAAGTCACTTCTAAGGAGTCTAGTGGGACTAGCTCCCTAGAACTCCAGCCTTGAAAGTAAAGCTTGAGCCTTCACTTTTAGCAGGTGGTAGAATAAAATTCCAAGGTAGTTAACAAGTGTTAGCTTTGTTACTCACTACAATGGGCATTATTTGTTTTGTAGAGATTAAAAATCCTCTTCGAAGCTTGTTTTAGATATAAATATATGCTATACTAACTGAAATATCGCTAAGTGCACTGGTCCTATGTTTCATTGTTAAGATTTTAGTACCGTCCTTCATCTGGAATACTATAAACTGGAACTCCTAGAAAATGATTTGGTCTTGCTACAGTCAACTGTAGCATTAGCTTTTACTGTGCCTTTAAGGCAGGAACTGGACAAATCAGTAGGAAGCAGAGGATGCCCACTCCCGTTTGACTCCCGTGTGCAAAGTAGAGGCTGTGGGGCAGGACGTGTGTGTAAATAGTGGAGGACTTGATCATCTGCTGCTGCTGCTCTTCTAGCACTAGCCCTTTGCCCGCTCCCCTTCTGAGAGATGTGCAGAAAGGTGGCGGGTGTGGTGGAGATTTAAGTATCCCGCTCATCATTTCTGTCCTGCATATGCTGCCCCCCACCCCAAACACACACTTTGCACACCCGAAGCTAACACAGGGTAGTGCTGGCCGTGTCGGCTAATGAACGAGTGGTTCATGTTTGGCTGTCCTCTGTTTTACCTCAGTCAGTTATATGACACTAACATCTTCAAAGTAACAAAACATAACAAGAGACTGATGATTGCCTGTAGGATTTGGGCTTCGCTAATAGAGTGGAGGATTATTATTACACTGTACTGTGAAAATTCTGGTAAAGAAACGTTTTTATTGACCTTAGAAACAGGACAGTATTTTTGGTATTGCTTCTTTAAATATAACAGAACAGTTAGGGTCCTACTGTCGTTAAGGTATACTGAAGTTCTGCAGAGATCACTGGGAAAAAAATTAAGTACATGGTTGATATTATTAATAAATGAGTCTTTAGGTGCTTAAAACTTGTCTTGATTGTGTTTCATTTGGCTGAAAATGAACAGCTTTTTAGTCGCTACTCTAAATTTTAGGTAAAAAACACCATAAAGTCACTTTATCATGGGATATACTGGAATCTGTCCTAAACAACTCATTTTTTTCTGCTACACAATATTTAGTTCTCATTCTGTGTATTGTATCATGTGGAATTAAAACGTTTTGACAAAACATCTTCATATTCTTTCTGTGTCAAAAGCCCCCGAGTTACTCTTTTGCTCTCTTCAAACTTTGGTAGTACAACTGCAATGTATCCTTCTGTGGAAGGCTAGAGGAGGGAAAAACAGGAGAAATCAGATAAAAAGTAGAAGGGAAGGTGTGGAAGGGGAAAGTGTTTGAAATTTGAAAAAGCAGTTTTAAATTCTCACCTTTTCTTGTAGAAGAGCTGGATTGTCCAAAATGTTTTCATTCACTTCTATCAGTCTCCCTCTTATACAGCTGCAGAGAGTTTCCAGTTTAGAAAAAGTGAAGATCAGTTGAAGCAGTTTAATGCAAACAAAACACCATCGGCTTACCTGTATATGGTATATTCTTCTCCGTCTGAGCAGAAAATGTGACACAGAGGGGCAAGTTCTGTTAAGAACTGAGCACCCTGGATAAAAACAAGGCATCCAATTAATTGGGACTGTGAGAAAAGGACAAGCAGCAGGGGAATACATTCTGACAACAAAGAACAGGCTTTTTTAACAAATTCAAGAATCTATATAGAAGGTCTTGGGGGCGGTGGGAGGAAAGGGATGGGGGTCTGGCTTTGCCACAGGCCATGTTGAAAAAGGGAGGGTGGGCCTTGCACACTCATGCCTTTGAAAGTATGTGCTTGTACAACTATGTGCCCCCAATGGACATAAATACTTAGGCCACACAAGTGCGAAGCAAGAAAAGCAAGGGCTCCATGTAAACCATCCTGATGTTAAAATTAGAGCTCTTACTCTGGGACATTAGGATCCGTGTTCTTTAAAAAGCTTTCTAGACCATTGCTAGTTAAAGCGAGGTTGAGTTACAAATGAAAAGCGCCATACCCACCCTTTTATATTTTCCAGAAACTTTATTCTGGAGTCTGCTGCAGTTGGCACTGATCTGGTAACTAATACTCTTAATTTGTCTTCTCTTTTGAAGAAGAGGATGGGCATCTGCTATAGTAATGACACAGATTCTGCAAGAAAAGAGCAATTGTCTATTTAGTCACCCTCTCAGGAATTCACAATCTGGCAACACTAAGAAAATAGATAAATGTCGCAGGTTTTTTAATAACTATTTTTAGCCAGAAGTAAAGAAGATGGCAAATAGGAAAATTATGTGCTAAACCGTTTCTATACATTACAGGATTTCACTGGGAGGTATCATTTATGCTCCGAAAAGCCATTTGTTGCCACAAGACTCAGGGCCTGATCAAGCGTACTTAGTATTTTATCCCTAAGTAAAACGTATTTTTAGCAAAGTTAAAGTTCAAAACTAATTCGCTGGATTTGAGCCAAAGACCTAAGTAATCCAACATTCTATCTGTAATAAGGGGCGGCCGGATCCCGTGGGGACTCCAGCATGGCATGAAGACGGGGGCCAATTCCACCCCAGCACCTGGTGCCTAGATGGATGTAGAATCTCTCAGCACATTCAACACCCCAAACACTTGTCCTCCAGATGTTTCAGACTTCAATTCCCATTTAGTCCTGGCCAATGTAGCCATTTGTTAAGATGCTGCTAGGTGAAGTCCAAAACATCTGGAAGGCACAACAGCAGGGAAAACTGTTCCAATAGAATATATTAGGGAAAGTGAGGGGTACAAAAATTGGAGATAATCTATTTCAGGCTATCGAGTGGCCTGATAAGGACTTTAACAGGAGATCTTTAAAAAGCATCCCCTGAAAACAGTAACACATCTGAGGCAGCTCCTCAGTCCAATCCCATGGGGTCCCAGATGTTTGCCTATGAAGCTCTACTCTGCCTCCTCCAGATACATAATTGGAAAAAGGTTGGGGAAAGTTACTGTTCCTGAACCTGCCACTGATTAGCTGTTCTGCAGGCAGGGAGGGGCCAAAAGAAGCAACTTCCTGGTCCCACTCAACCGTCTGCCAGTCAGGCCTTCTACCTTCATGTGCTTGCTCTCCTCCCAGCCTTCCCAGTCCCTAGAGCCTTTCCGAACCCTCTTCCTTCCTGGCTTGCTCTTTGCCTTGCCAGTTCCCCTTCCCTCCCAAGCCTCTAGCTTGGCAATTTCTCTCCCTCGCACCACCTCTCTTGACATGACAGTCTTGCACAGCAGCTGTAATGTGGCTGGCCACATCCTTAGGTGGGACTTCATGCTAGTGCCCGCAGCAATTTTTCAAATTCCAAAATGCGCCCCGAAGTCCAATGGCAGGAGATCACGATATAGGACTTTCCATAGTTGTCTGGGATGGGCTGTTACAAAATTCAGCGATTTCTCACATGGCACATACCTCCACTTCCTGGGCAAGTTTCAATAATAAGCTAGTTGCCCAGATTATAGTCCTATAATCCAGCCTTCCACAACCTGGTGGCCTTCAGAGGCATTTGGACCACAACTCCCAGAATTCCCATCCAGCAGGGCAGCTGACTGAGAATTCCGGGTGTTGCAGTCCAAACATGCCTGGAAGGCACAAGGTTGTGGAAGGCTGCTATAATCCCCTGACTACTGAAGGACAGTGTCTGTATTGGGGAAGGGGTGCATTTTTTTTGTCCTGCATTAGGCACCAAAATGTTGCAGGCCATCCTTGGGAAAAGCTCTCTGCTTGGAAAGAGGAAGGGTGTGCACTCAGCCAGGGCCTGCGTGTATGCACAGCCTGGGAAATTTAAGGCATCTGTAATAACAGAGAGAGCAAGATAGCACAGGAGTTGTGGAGGGAGTCCATACGAAAACCAAGCTGCAAGTTTTACAGGCTGCTGCTTGCCTCCTGCCCCCAGGATTGCTGGCTGGATGTAGTGGAAGGTGCAGTTGCCTGCACTGTCTCCTCACAGGAGAAGTGGGAAGCACCGGACCTGCATCTGCAGCTCCTGCTGGCTTCACCAAGTGTGTGGCAGAGAGGACAATGAACTGGCAGCCGAGAGGGGAGTCTCTGGCACTGGCAGGGAAGTGGCAAAAGGGAGAGCCAGGAGAGACAAGTGCTCATGCCACCACTGTCCGTCTCTCCTGCACGGTGTCTCCACTTCTTGAACTGCGCTGCCCGATAATGAGTCCCCTGCGAAACTGCTTTTGGATAAGTGATGCCCGTCTTTCCCAGGCTTGGGAAGGGTGACACATCCCTGATGGGAGTTGTAAGGTGACCTGTTACCTCGGCAGCTTTCCCATTGACCCATCTAGCCACCCATACCCAAGCCCACCCTCCACAAGGACCTGCCCTTCACTCAGTCCCACCTGCCCAGGGGCATGCTCAACCTTCATAGTCTTGATATGTCCTGCTAGCTGCAGGACTTGGGCGAGCAGACGCCCCCAGTGGCAAAGGGGAGAGTTCCTCTGAAGTGTCTTCCTTGAGCAGCCAAGACCAGTTTGCCCATTTGCAAGCCACAAAACAAAGAGTGGCTCACAGGCCTCTGTTCGGCCACCTCTGCTTTAGATGAACCACATCACCTAGTGGGCAGAATCATCTGACACACAATTCCTTGGAAATGGAAAGAACATTTAAAAGGCTCCTAAAATACAATGTATTCCTAGCCTCGGGTGCTTTCAAAGTGGAATTGTGACAATCCTATGCTCACTTACTTGGAATTTAACCCCCTTGAACCTAGAAGGACTTCTGAGTAAACGTGCATCTAACTGGGCTGTAGGAGTACTTACCTATTAGAATGCCGCAGTATGCAATGGTCCTCACATGGATTCCCTTTTACATCTGGAAAAATAAAATTAACCATTACTGGTACCTTCTAGGTGAGAAATGTGCAAAGTGCAGGCTCTGAGGAAGCCTTCCTCTACAAAAGCTAAAAAGCATCCTGGCCCCTCCAGATACATCAGTTGCAAGCAATGTTGTCCTATACTGGGGGCAATATTGCATGTCTGAAAAGAACAAAAAGGTCAGCAGGGAATGAAATGCAAGAGACACAGGCAGTGATGAGTGTACTGAGGCACAGGTATACATAAAATAACTTTATTTATTTATTTATCAGACTTATATGCCACCCTCGGGGCAGCTTACAAATAAACAAACATCATTAATATTAATTTATTATTATTAATACAATAAAATACAGTTGGAGACATCCTGGCCAAAGTTATTAAAATCAATAAATAAATCAACAATTAAAATGTTTAACTAAAAAGGTCTTGGCCTGGTGCCAAAAAGCAAAGAACGACTTTCCGTGACCATTCACAAAGTAGCGTTGAACATCCTAGCATAGACAAATCAATTACCATCTCTAGAGTTGCTACTCAGGTTACAATCTTATGAACACTTACTTGGGAGTAAATCCATTGATAACCACCAATGGGCCTACTGATATTACTATGCATATTATGCTATCAATGTATCTACACTGGGCATTGCAAAGTTACATCCGCAAAACAGCCAGGTCCCCCCTTGCCCCAGGGAGCTCAGAACCAGAGAACAGGGAGGCGGCGTGGATGATACGGGATGGGTGTCAGCACACACAGTTGGGTGCACAAATGAATGTTGCAGATCTAGTGCAGGGTTAGCCAGCGAACCATGCCTTCTTCCAGGCCGCTCCTTGCCTTCTCCCACCTCACCCCATCTCTCCAACCATCAACATCCCACGGAAACAGGGACCATCAGCCTTCACAGGGGTGTTCCTTGAATGCAAGCTGTGTGGGGTGCATGGCTTCCCCCCAGTGCAGCTCCGTCTAGGTATTTTTCTGCCTCCGCCAGAAGCTGCCATTCCCCACGCCTTTTGCCACACCATCAGGGAAGACCTGGAAGGGGCAATAAGGCCACCGGGTCCGGTCCCCCTTTGGGGGCTTTCCAAGAGGGGCGCTCGGGGTGCTCTGAGTGGCTGATGCCGACCGAGCATCCTGCACAGGGGTCGGCCTACGACTTCCAGTATCCCTCGGCCCGCCTGTGGACGGGGATGCTGGGAGCTGTAGTCCAAGGCAGCCGGAGGGCTCCCGGCCGAGGAAGGCGGCTTTGAGCAGCCATGCCTAGCGGCGGCCCGGCCCCGCAGAGGGTCCTTGGGCCTCACGGGAAAGCGGACGCGGGGCCCGCGCAAAGGCCTCACCTGGCTTGTACCAGCGGGTGAAGTACCGCTCCGTCACGCCGGGCACCGTTGCCATGGCAGCAGCCGGGGCCTCCGTCGCCATGGCGGCAGCCGGGACCGCCGTTGCCACGGTAGCTGCGGCCTCCGGCCCTTCCGCCGCCATGTGCCGGGAGCCGCGCCGACCCCTCGCCCCGCCGCCCAGCGGCTTCGGCGGCCGCGCGCAGCCCCGCGAGCCGCAGGCCGAGGCGGGAGGCGCGGAGCGGGACGAACGGCAACCCGGAAGCGCCTCGCGGGCCGGCGCCGCAGAGATGCGTGCAGAGGCGGCTCTCCGCGGCTGGGCGGCACCTTCCGGGTCCGCGCCGGCGGGCCAGGCCCGCGTTTCCCCGCAGCTGCCCGCCCACAGGGGGCCTGCGGTGCCCGGCGCGGCTGTCCCGCCCGCTCGGAAGGAAGCGCCGGCGGACGCAACGGCCTCTCTCCCAGGTTCAGCTCGTGTGTGTGTGTTTGCAGGGAGCAGAGGCCCCCTTTTGGGGGAGCCTTCCCGCCCCGAGGCGCTGTCTCGCGTCCCTGATGGCCGGAGAGGGGCTGAAAGAAAGGCTCGTCGCAGCCCTGCAGGGCCGGTATCCCTATTGCCTTGGAAGCAGAAACGAGGGGACGGAGGTCGCCGTGCTTCCCGCACCTCGCGAGAAGGCGAAAGGCTCCCTGCGGGAGGCCCTTAAGGAAAGTGGAAGGCAGAAGAAGGGGGAGACCAGCTCTGTGATGGATCAGTTCCATAACGGAAGCTCCAGCCTTGCGTGCACAGGTGCTGCCGTGGATCAGACATTTTGGAAGGCGCTCTTTCAGAGGGTCGACACGGGGATGAGCGATAGCAATCCTGCAGATTGAGGGGAGGGCGGAGGCGATCTTCGAGCCGCATGGGCGACCAAGCCTCCGCTCAGATTATAGCAATTGTCGGCGTGGCGCTGCCTTCCCCTTTCTTGCCTATTGTATGTAGGAGCCTTGCGAAGCACGCAGGGATGTTGTGTCAAATGTTTGCAAACCCCGAAGCAAGCAGAGATTAGATGGGGAAAGTGCGGGCTAGGCGAGCGCAGAGGGGAGCTCAGGTGCCCCCGCCACTGCGCTGGCTGCCCAGGCGGAAGCACGTGTTCCTGGTCGCTCTACCCTTTTACTATCTCTAGGAGCGCGAGACTCCGCCTCCTTTGAATGGGTTCGCGGCCACGTGCAGGCGTCTGGCAGCGGGTGGACCGAATCGCTGGGGCCCCGCTGTTGGCTCCCGTGTTTTTCGGATCGTGTGCACCGCGTTGGGGCACCTTTCGAATAAAACTGCTCCGACCTGGGCATTGCTCAGCAACAGCTCTCCAACTCTCTTCCAATCCCCCCCCCCCCCCCAGCAATAGCAGGTCTCCCCGCTCTTCCGATTCCTACTCTGTAAAAGTTGCTTTCCCGGCATGGGGATGAACCGATGCAGAAGAGCCACAGGAGCTATGGGAGCTGAAAGGAAAGGGAGTTTCCTCTGTGGGGGGTGTTCTGTGCAGTGCAAGGTGGGCGCCATGAATTCTGGACCTCAAAACCAATTCTTGAGCTGCATACGCACCCAAGTTAGATGAATGTTACTGGAATGCTTCATACATCCTAATCAAGGGAAGGTTGCATTATTTTCCCCATAACTTTGGGTTGGGATGCTTCTGCCCCAAGGGTCAGGAAGAAGTATTGTCAATTTATTAAAAAACAAAATTAGCCATGCTTGCTATTTTTCTTCACTTCCTGCTTCTGGTTTGTTTTAACATCTTGTTAGTGTTTTTATACTCCTTATAGCTGGTCCTGAAGCTGCTGTGCCTGTGAAATAAGAAGGGAGAGCAAGACCTCCCCCAAAGCAATGGGCTGGCTCTATAATGCAGTACCAGGGAAATCAGTGACCACTTCCAAGAACACTGGGAAACATCAGCAAATTAGACTTTGGACAGAGCTATGAAATAAGACTAGTTGTAGTAACAATACATGTTTTGGTATAGAGTCTCATTATCAAGACAAATTTGAAGCACAAATTGCATCATTCTCTCAGATCCTGCCACTGTAGAAGTCAGTTTTGTAAAATTAGGTTGAAGATTGAAACTCCTGCTCTGTAAAGCTAAAATATGCTTTAGGGCTTTTGGCAATTACATTACACACACACACTTACAGCTGCTCATACCATCAAGTGCTCAAGAATCCGGTTCTCTAGGAAGTGAAGGATGTTCCTCCTGCCACTGTTTCTATTTTTAGTATATGTAAGGTGTGAAAAAGTTGTTCTGATTCAACTATTCCATACCGGTAGGCTACTTCAGACACACACCACTGGACCAAAATACAACTGTTAAGTGTGCACAAAATGCACAGCTCAGAAGTCTTTTCTGCAGTCTCTTACCATCCGTTCTCCTTTGTGTATAGCACATTTCTTGTAATAACTTCCAATATGATGTCACTACTTCTGGTAATGTTTTTTTCCCCAGGCTTGTATTGCTGCCAACACTTTCTCCTAAATCAGGGCTGGGTGGATAAATTTCTTGTTTTGAAGGCCAATGGTATTAGATGCTTGCTTCCAGATTGCTGTTGCAGGGAGAATTCTGGCTGGCTGTTGTTTGTGGAGTTGTGAGGGAGATGGGAAAAATCACATTGTGGGTGCAATCAAGTCTTGGTAACCGCTGACAGACAAGACACATTTAGGGGCAGGGAAAGTAGCAAAGAAACACCTTACTGCCCCATTCAATCTTCCCTTTTTTGCCCAGTGGGGTTTTTAAGGGTTGCCTGGGGCCTATTCCACACTTGACATCTGAAACCCATCTGAGGTCTGCTGTAATAGATTTGCTAGGGACTTCCAGGAGAAGGTCTCTTGTGTCCAAGGTCTCCAAGTCGCAGATTCCAATGTCACAGCAGCTGAATCTGTCACAGTCTAGTCTGTGTTCATATTTTTAAACAGTTCTGAGAGCATTAGCTAATTGAACAGTAAAGAAATACTTCCAATAAATAACAGTTTGACTGGAGGAGTTTCAGTAGGTAGAGCTTGAGGGTGTTGACAAGGTGCTTGGGCAGATTTGTGCAACCACATCTCTATTCGAACCTTGCCCCTCTTGGTTTAAAGGTGGTGGTGGAGGTGGGGGGGGGGGGACAACTGGCTCAGCCAGGAAAGCCTCTTTGTCCTATGCTCCCTGAAACAGGCAGCCGTGAGGCCAATCCTTAAGAAACCCTCTCTGTGACCAGAACCCGAAAATTTTATGCTGGGGGTGAATACGCCTTTCCTGGGCAAGGACTCCAAGTAGATGAGAGCCAGTTCTGGACCCAATTCTTGTAAGGTGTTGTTTTCCATCTCTGAAGCCCTTCAGGGCTTGGGATCACAATACTGGCCAAAGTGCCTCTCCCAACCACGATCTAACCAGCTACAATGATCAATTCTGGAGGCCTGAGGGAGGCTCAGTTGGTGGCCACAAGGAATGAGGGTCATTTCAGTGGCAGCCCCTCAATTAGGGGAACAAGCTTCTCACTGATGCCTGCCGGGTAACAACCTTGCTATCCTTTCTGTTCCAAGTTTGTTGTTTATTTAGCAAGCTTCTATGCCGCCCCATTCGCCAAAGCCTTGGGGCGGCTCCCAACAATAAATACACAATTAACCATATAAAACAATATAATTGGAGACGTCCTGGCCAAAAATATAAAATCAATAAATAACATTAACGATTAAAATAACGTTTAAAAAGGTCTTGGCCTGGCACCAAAAAGCCAATGACAGCGACACCAGGTGGACCTCTCTGGGGAGCGCATTCCATAGATTGGGCGCCACCACAGAGAAAGCCCTCCTCCGGGTAGTCACCCTCCTAATGTCCTTCACGGAGGGCTCCCGGAGAAGGGCCTTTGCCGCCGATCTCAAAGGGCAGGAGGGCACGTATGGACGAAAGCGCTCCTTTAGGTAACCAGGACCCAAGCCGTTGAGGGCTTTATAGGTGATAACCAGTACCTTGAATTGGGCCCGGACTTCAGTGGGGAGCCAGTGAAACTGACGGAGGACTGGAGTTATGTGAACACAACGCCCAGTCCCCATCAGCAACCTGGCAGCTCTGTTTTGCACCAATTGAAGTATCCGGGCTGTCTTCAAGGGCAGCACCACGTAGAGCACGTTACAGAAGTCTAGTCGGGGAGTTACCAATGCGTGAGTCACTGTTGCCAGGCAGTCGTTCTCCAGGTAGGAATGCAGCTGGTGAATCAGCCAAAGGTGAAAGAAAGCGCTCCTCGCCACTGCTGTTACTTGAGCTTCCAGCGAAAGCTCTGGATCAAGGAGCACTCCCAAGCTGTGGACCTTGTCCTTCAGAGGGCGTGCAACCCCATTCAGGACAAGGTCAAGGTCCCCTTCCCTGAAGCCCAATTCGCCTACCAAGACCTCCGTCTTGTCTGACTTGAGCTTCAGTTTATTGGCCCTCATCCAGCCCATTACCTCAGCCAGGCACCGGTTCAGTACAGCCACTGCCTCGCCAGGATTGGTGGAAAACGAGAGGTAGAGCTGGGTATCATCAGCATACTGATGATTCCGCAGCCCACACCTCCTGATGACCTCTCCCAGCAGTTTCATGTAGACGTTAAATAGCAAAGGGGACAAAATGGATCCCTGCGGTACTCCATGGCATAACTGCCATGGCGCAGAGCCATAGTCCTCCAGCACCACCTTCTGGAATCGGCCACTGAGATAGGAGCAGAACCACTGCAAGGCAGTGCCTCCAACCCCCAATCCCACTAGCCTATCCAGAAGGATACCATGGTCGATGGTATTGAAAGCCGCTCAGCCATGGCTTTTAAGAGCTCCAAATAATGCTTGGGACATTGTGTTAGCTGTTTAACAGATCTTCTTGGTTTAAATTGTTCAACTATTTAAGTTATTTAAAGTTTACAGTGAATTCTTAGAGTGTTATCCATACTGTACATTGTATTTTACTGTATTTAAACATTTTGTTGCAAGCTGCCCAGAGCACTTTACATTTCGAGTGACATTGAAATAAATCATTATCATCTTGCCCCATCCCAGCTTTTCCGTAGTATCACTGGGATGAGGACAAGGTTAAAGTCTCCCTGTCATCACGCAGGCAGTTGTCTGGGTGTAGTTTTCAGTTCAGAACATCCTCGGGCAATCCTAACTCCTTCAGTGAGGCAGCTGTAGCAGATTTCAGTGTCAAGTCTAGAGACTCCCAGTTCCTTTCCCTTTTCCATACAATGCCATAGCATTTGATTTCAGAAGGCAGGCACCACAGAACTGTGTGAGAAGAAATGCCAGAGCATCTGCACTGTGAAGGAAAGAGAAGCAAATACAAAGGGACAAACAGAGGTGGTTCTTGCCTCCCAGAAGAGTAGGGATGGGGGCGAAAACAGAACATTTTGCTATGTCTTCCTTGACCATAGGCTACTGTAGCCATGAGGCACCTAACAGTCTTGCAGAACACAGATGGGCATGTTGGCATAGTTAAAAAATAGTGCACTGGCCACTCTAACTTCATCTTCCAGGGAGATTGTGAAGGAGAGTGGTAGCTCTAGGGGATAACCTGTGGGTGGCATACATAAGAAACCCCACAGGTGAGAGTGCATGAAGCCAAGAACTTCCCATGGCTTGTCAGCAAAATGTCCAATTTTAACAGACAACCACATCAATACTGGTTCAATGCAGAGCTTTATGTAGAGTTAGATTTTTGAGGCAACAGAAGTTTTTACTTCAGAACATTTAATTATTCTGTAAACACAAAGATTGACCAAAGAACCCGTCATTTTTATGACAATCCAACTATCAAAGCATCTCGCTGTTTATATTAGCACAACCATTTAGAAGTGCACAGAATAGTTTTTTTCTATGAAAGAGTGAAAATTACATCTTTAGGTTTTTCTACACCAGATACATTAAATGCAACCCCAGTTCAAATGATCGTACCAGTTTAACACAGACAAAACTGACACTGCATGATGTAGATCTGTTCACAGTATTAAATAACTTCTTCAAAAAGTATCAGTTAAAACTACTTCCCTTATAGTTTTAGCTTCCACTATGGTTGATAAAAGATCATCTAATAAACCAGTTTCTCCATAGTGCTATATACAGTACTCTGATACGTATGCAAGCGGCTCACACAACTAAAAAATGCCTAATCTAAATGTCTCATGAGTAGGAATTAAGGGGGCAGGGAGAAGTGCCTACAAGTGCATTTGCAATGTAATGTTGGTAAGAGGAAAGTAAACGAAGTATCATGGAAGAGAATGTCATTTCCATGGAAGGAAGGGCTCCTTCCGTTTGAGGAAGGGGCTGATATCCAGCGCAAGTTCCCCTTTGGAGGATGGGAGAACAATAGTTGCTCATTTCCCTTACAGCCCTTCACTGCACCCCTCATGGTCTTCTGTCAGGTCACCAACCCTCTGGAGCAAAATTTCAGAGTGCTGCAGTGGAAAGGAGGAGCCGAAATTACTTCCCTCAATTCCTCTATCACAGGTGGAACCCCACTGAGGAAGTCTGAATCTAACCCTACAAGTTTATGCTGAACACAATTTTATGTTCAAACACAGAGATAAGTAACATAATACCAAAACCTAACAGAATTCCAGCGTTCTGTAAGAGAAAATACCCCCAGCGGCTACATCCGTGATCACTAGCATCATTGTGGAGCATTTCCGGCACCTGGATTCAAAAACGACACAAACAATTTGAAGTCAAGCACATTACACAACGATGTGTCTGCATCTTCAAGTGTTAAATAGTGTGGCAATTCATTTTTGTATCAGGAGCATAGAACCGAAGGCTTAGAGATCTCAATCTGCCCCTGTTGTTCTCTAGTTGGCTCAGCCATTTGGTTGTTTCCTAGTTTCTGTGCCCCATTCTAAAAGCTGGAAACGCCTCTCCTGTCTCTGTTACTGGCAGTGAAAGTGTTAAGCAAAACACGGAAGATATTTGGGCCCTCCCCTTTTGCCTGTGGCTCTGCTCATCCCTGGAATGTGGCCCCTGAAACTACCTCCACAATGGAAGGTGGCCCTTCGTGCAGAACCTCGTCCAGCCTATTCTGTATGGTACATGTGGGATGGCCCAAAAAGAGCTGTGGTGCTCCTGCTCACGGTTCCAGCCAGCCACCCCACCACGCCTCCCTCTGGACATAGCCTATGCTGTTAGGAGCTTGGCAAGGCCAAATTACTCTGCCCCATCAGTGTTATCATTTCTAAACCCCTGGAGAGATGCCTGCATCCCGTGCGTCTGACGTCCACTGACCATGCTATCATGGGGGGTTGTCCCTTTTAATGTTTAACAAACGATTCTTGTCTTTCAGCTAATACCTTCCTGCTTGTCTTTAGTGGGCCTAATGAAAAGAAATGGCAGAGTGCTCTGCTAGCTTCAGGAACAAACCCTGTTCCTCCCTACCTTCTCGACAGGTTTAGCTGGGCGCTGACAGGAGAAGGACTACATGAACTGTTGTCTGTTCCAGCAGGGCTCTGACGTACAGAGATTCGGATTTCTTAATGCTCTTATTTCTTCCACACACCCCACTCAACTTACTTTATGACCATCTAGCACTCAGTAAATAAGGTCATACTAATGCCAATGCCGGGAAGATGTCCCTAGAGGAATGTCTGACTGGCATTCCGGAGCAAACCTGTGGCTGCTGCTATGAGAATCAATCTTCAGTGTTATTTGGATACTTACCATGTCAACAAGGGCCACATACATGAACAGCCCAGCAGTGAGTGCAAAGATCCACATGGAAACATTGTCAGCATAGTGACCGATGAGTATGCCAGTAGCCATTCCAAGGTAAGCCAACATAGCAGACAGGGCATTATAAAGAACAGCTTGTCTGACAGTCATGCCAGCTTTGAGAAGTACAGCAAAATCTCCTTTAAGAAAAAGAAAAATCCGTTATATTGGTCCAAGCAGGTGCTCCAAAACGCTGGTGTTTTCTTAAATTCAGGTCTTTCCAAACTTTAGTATGATAGGAAAACTAAGCAGTAATATTAGTCACTGTTAATATTGTTAAATTTTGTATCTCTGCATGTGCACACACAAAATTTATCTGCTTTTCCACCACTCCATTAGAAATCTACTGGGGGACACTCACAATTTTACATTAATTTGGAATAAAAGGATATAATCCCAAGAGTCCTCATAATTATTCATTTTAGTTGGTATTAAAACATGCTTTAAATAAGAGGAAAATTCACATTGTTTGCTTAACCAATTAGATTAAGTTACACTAAACAAAACAACATTAAGGACGATGTCACTAATTTGTATAAAGGAGCATGATGATGAGCAATTAATATTGCAACATCCAGTGTCCAAACTTGTGTGCAACTAGGGTCTTACGTTCTGGCAATTCTAAAGAAGCCCTGGGGAATAGGAAATTACTGTTTTCTCACACAAGCCCCCAAATTATATTTGACTGTTTGGTGATATCACCATCATCATTGGCATTAAAGCAAGCACAGAATGATGTGTTTGTTAAATTATGTGTCCTACCTAGTTCGTGTGGTAACTCATGGCAAAAGACTGCAACCGAAGTACTTAAACCACTGGATAAACCTTCAGTAAAAGCCGCTCCTAGGTGAAGACAAATGTTATTAATGAGAAGTGATTTCATCTGGAGAATGCAGTTAAAGCTGTACAAGGGCTCACCACACCCCTGGAAACAATGTATCCCAATTCTCAGGAAGACCAAGAAGATGCTAACATCTAACAATGATAGCCTGGTTTTGTATAAAGTAAAGCTGACAATTCTCAAAAGGCTAATACCAAGAGCACCAAGTTATTTTAAAGCCACGATACTTATCCTGACATTAGTCAATGGTACATGCATGTTTTCTTAGTAATATTTTAAGTGTTAAATACAAACCTTAATTCTAGATCTACCATTTACCTGTCACTGGCTGAGGAATATACTGTGAGCTTTACACACGACAGAATCTTGAATCTTTACTTTTCTATACTAGTAAAAGCCTAGCCATGAAACTGTGAAGAATCCATGGCTGAGCAAAATGAGGCACTGGGTCTGCCAGCGATACTTATGAAACAGCCTTAGAAAATCCAAGAAACACTAACCGATTGCCAGACCATCACTGAAGTTGTGTAGTCCGTCACCCATAATCACCATCCAGGCTAGAGTGGCTATCCCAGCATCCTTCAGTTCTTCTCGTGAATAGCGCTGGCTGTGGCTATGTGGGTGATGGTTCTGATGGTGGTGGTGATGCAAAATATGATGGTAGTCATGGTGATGATGACTGAGATGATCTGACTGCCCAAGGGTGTCATGTAAATGCGAATGGCATTTATTTCTGCACCCCCTGGATGCATATTCGTGGTCAGCAGTCTCTTGGTGGGAGTGAGCTATCATAACTTCTTCTTCTTCTTGTACTACTGGCTTCTGCGAGATGAAATTGGATGGATCTTGCGAATGTGCTCCCAAGTAAGCTTCAGGTCCTTGGTAAAACAAAGGAAAAAAAGAAGCCAGATAAATTCTCAGATGAATTTGAAATGGAAAGAATGATCGGCAACATATGCCATTTTACCAAGGAACATTTTCAGTAGCAGAACACATTATTCCTAGAAAATTTTAGATTCCCAGAGGTCTCCGTGGGAGGTGTATAATATAGCTCCTTCTGGTCCATTTTTATAGATTTGTGAGGTCAATCTACAGATGCAGGTCACACAATTTTTTTCCACTGCATCTTACATTTAGGATCATACAGTACAATAAAAGGTTACACGGGTACGCAGCCTATGACCACCAGCAGCCATTTCTGATGGCTGGAAGGCGCATCACTGCAATTACAGCAATGCTGTTCAGGCACTGTGAGCTAATCCATACATTTCTCCACATTCCTGTACACAGCAGAAGAAAAACGCCTCAAAAGATTTCATCAAAAAACTCTCAGAACTTTAGCCAAAAGCAACCCCTCTAGGCCCTTGGTGAGGGCACAGCAAACCCTAAAGAACAAGTCATGGAAACATGCACAAGTCATCAGTGTAATTAGGATTCAGAGGAATACAAAAGAGAAGTTAAGAATCTTGAGGATGGTAATTTGATTTCCAGTTTACGAGAAGCCTGGACCAGAGAAGCAGCAGCACAGTGGTCACAAGGCAACTTTTTCCATGGAGAAACATATTTCCTGAAGGAGAAAGTCTGAATGGAGAAGTGTGCTATAAAGAAAACTGAGTACCATGTTTGAAATTATGCTGTGGTAACCCCTAGTGGTAAAGTGAAGGAAGCATCCATCATAAGAACAGAGCATGGTGATGAATCAACAATGAAAGTGGAACCAAGATTTTCAGCAGTCAGCAACAAGGAGAGCAGGATCACAGCAAGCACCTTCTACACTGTGCTCTGCCAGAGTTTCTTCATCAATTGGCCTTACCACATGAGGTTCTACGGCCATTTTCTTAAGTGTGAGATGGCAGCTACTGGAACCCTCATCAGCCCAGCGGCCTGAGAGATACACTACCAAATTATAGCCAGGTCATGACACAAGATCAGAAATGTTTGGACTGCTCTCACAGAAGGCTAGCTCTATTTCACATCAACTATAAAGTGGATGAAAACAGTTGTTATTTAATCAATCCCTCACTCCTACAGAACAGTTTGTCAGTGGAACCAGACGAGGGCAATTCCCTTTCTCTCCTGTAGCCTGCCACTTACCCTCCCCGTCTGCTCCAGTGTGGAAGAGCAAAACAGAGTCTCATTCTGCAGCTGGACCTCTGCCTAATATTGAATGAGTCAAAATACATTTTTTTTGGTAGAAAATGAATGGAAATGCACTCACCTGCCTTAAAACAAGTGCACAGAGCAGGGACTCCCCCAGCAGAGGAGGGCTACACATTGGTTTCTGATCTTTTAAGCTTTGGAACTTTCCAAGATATTTACAACATTTACTGAAACTTACGATCATCTGCATCTATTTTTTCTTCATTAGTTGAAAGTTGAGAGTCATATTTAGACAGCTGCTTCTTGATTTCTGCTTCTTCATCTTCATTTTTTTTCTGACTCCCCAAAAAACAAGAACCCCACATTGAGGTTACTGACATTTTAGCCATACCTCTTTAATGCTATATATCTCACAAGACTGTAGAAAGCATCAAAAGACAATGTTGAACAGACCCCAAATTAAGTAAAAAAATGAAATACTTCAGAGAAATCTCACACAAAAGTAATAAAGTTCAACAAACAGCAGAATCCAGCTTTGCTCACAATCTAAGATCCAAATCTAAACTGAAACATATCCAAGAAGATTCTAATTCACTATTCAACTCAAACAGACAAAAGGATTTAACAAAATGCTTTAATAAAACCCTCAATGGTTTAATTCAGCTAGCTAGTAATTCATCTAGCTTGCCGAAAAAGAAAACTTTTGATTCCGGTATTGGTTTCAACACCCAATTAAATTCTTATTATATTAATTAGACTAAGTACTTTTAAATTACAAAGATTGTAATGGAAAAGTTTAGATTTCCTATGGATACCCATCGTCTTCATCTTCATCATCTTAACTTGATCTGCCGCAGCATAATTATGCTAAGGGGCATAGGTGTGCAAAAACTGGCTCTATTACTTAAGAACTAAAGTAGACCTCGAGTTTACACTAGACAGCAGGAAAATTTTCTTCACTGTCAGAGTGGTACAACCATGGAAGCTATTACTTGGTGACGATGTGGGCTCTCCCACACTAGAGGCATTCAAAAAGTGTCTGGACAGTCATCTAAATGCGATGCTGTAAACTGGTGACCTACAACAGCAGGTGGTTGAACCCGATGGCCTTCCTGGCCTGTTCCAACTCTAGTATTCTAGCTATGTGTGATGTTCTTTCACTGGGTACAGCAAGGGCAGGCAGCTGTTTAGGCTCACAGGGACATCTTGAAATGTGAGAAACTGCAATAGGCTCATCTACAATATGGTTATAATAGGTGGGCGTGACTATTCTCAAAGGATAATTACCCTGTGCAGAGGCATTCTTGAGATGGCCCTCACTTTTCTTTGAAGCAAACCCAGCTGCCAGTAATATAAAAATATTAAATACCATTTTAAAATGGAAATAGGGAGTAGAATGTCTTGGTGGGCACCAAAGAAAGTGTTCAGGGGCACATGGCTGCCCACAGGCCCCACACTGCCTGGGGTAAAGTTATATACAATAAAAGCCCCATGCAAACCATCCTTTAGCATTTGGAGACATAAAAAATTATTGCATCTTTTCAAAATACTGCTTTCCTACCTTTTTTTTCTTGTCTTTAAACTGTTTAATTAAGGTGATCAAGTGCTCAACAAGAAACATAAAATATAGCCCTCCGAGGGCTGTGAGGCCCTTCCAGGTGGAATCCAAATAAGCACTTTCTTCTGAACTTTGAAAAACAAGATGCTTAAAAGGGGGATCTTTATTGTGCTCCACTAGGAGTTTCTCATGATGGTGATGGTGATTTCCATGGGACTAAAAATTGGAAGAAAAAGAGAGTTAATTCACAGTACAATCCTAGGAGGCTGCAATCCAGCTTTGGCAATCGTTAAGCATTCGCTATGGAGGACCAGGAGAGGAGCCTGAAACACCAGAAAATTCTGCTTATGCTGATAGTGCCTGTCTCCTCCCTTCCCCCAGAATGCCCAGAAAACTTCCATGCCACCACAGGAAATTTGGAGTCCAACTCCAACGGAGCCCAAGCACCATTCTAAAACTAGAGCTGGGACTCCAAATGCTGCTATGGCCACCCAGTAGGCAAACAATTGGGCCCACAGACAATTTTCCAGACAAGACACAACGGGATGAAGGGGAGAATGGAATGGAGGAGTCGATCAATCCCAGGTTGTTCTCAGTTACTGGGAGGGATGTCAGGAAAAATGAACAGCAGTTGTATGTCTGCACAGGTACAGGCCAAGACTCATTCTACGTATGCAGAAGACTAAGGTGGTATGATGCTGGTGAATACTGTATCACTCAGAGGTAGGAGTACTAGTCTTGAATGTTTACTCATATTAGCAGGAGTTATCCTAACCCTAGGGTTAAAGGTAACCCTCCCCTTTTCTCTACTTAAATGCTTCTCCTGGCCAGATCTACAGCTCGGCCATGTCCCAAATGACTCATGCCCAGTTAATGCAAGTAAAAGAGATGGTACTTACATGAGGAAGGAGATGTAAAAGAGCATCTCCACTTAGGGTACCAACTGCTAATGCGACAAGGAAACTTAAAAGGAACTTGAAAAATACACGATTCATAAGAGGCACCAGTATTACACCCAGTAAGGAAAGAAAACTGATGATGGAAATGGATATAAATCCACCAATCCAAGCTGGAAGGAAAAGGAGAGAAAAACACTTTATATCAGATGCTTTGTTCAGACATTCCTCTCTTGAAATCATTGGTTTCTTCCTTAATGTATAAGCAGGTAGGAGCCGGTACAAGATTGTATACAGCATTTTAAGCATGTTAGTCTTTAAAGGGGGGCACAGTCCCCCCTGCTTGCAGTGTCTTGCTCTTCAGGGCACAACAAAGACCCTGATTTAGGGGAATCATTCAGAATAAATGTTTGCTCAATGCTTTGTTCTTAGTAAAGAATCAGTAAGAGAAGTAAAAATAGTGAAAACTTGTTTCCATCAACAAACCTACCTACTTGCAATGAATACGTTTTTGGAGGAGTTTCTGCCTTTTCACCTGTTGCATGAAATATACAGAATCTTCCATCAATCTGGTTAACGATCGCTGGACAAAGATAGTTGAATTCTGTGGCCGTCAACTGAACTTGTGTATTTATTCCATGAGAAACCATGAGTTTTGATGCATTGAAGCACTACAGAAGGGGAAAAAAACAGGAAATGGTTCACATAAATGCTAGTTTGTTCTCCAGCTACAGGAGCTCTTTTCTGGAGTAACTGCTAAGATTCAAATTAGCACGGTTACAAGAGACAGAAGGGTATCTGTTCTCATTACGTGAAAAACAAATAAAATATAGGTCTCTACACATAAGCACAAACCCAAAAGAGCTGTACAACTAGTTCAGTAACCCCAGGATTTTAAAATATGTTCCCTTCCCAGCCCAAAAACACACAGCAGCAACCCCAGCATGTGCAGCAAACTACTTCTGAGATGAAGTACTTTAAAAGGTAGCTTGAGAGATACTGGACATTATTCAAAGACAGTAATTCTATCAAGCAATTGCAACTCCTTGCATCAAACTAACTCCACCACACAATGATGTTTTGATGCCAAAATACTAAAGGTCCAGGAACAATGGGACAAGCAAAGTAAAACAAACATGAGGCTAATTATAACACCTTTCAATTTTCCAATGGACTACCTAATAATATTTCAAATAGGAAATAATCCATCAGACACTTTACAGCAAGTATTTCTGTAGGGGCAGCGGGTATGCATTTAAAAACATCATCAAGAAAATTAAAACTAGAGTTTTAAAATATGGCTTAAAATATTAAGTCAACTCCATTTTTTTAACCAATCACAGTGAAACCAGTTTATAAACAGCTACCTATTTGAACCCCTGTGGTGGATAAAGAATCACTTCAGGATGACAAGTAGGGAAGAATTTACAAGATGGAAGAAAACAGGTTCACCTCCCATTTTATTGCCAGTGTGCCAGAAATTCCTGAGGACTAGTAATTATTGGCTGCATTAACTTAGTCTTGCAAATGCCAACAAATTAGCTACCTCCCAGTCTCTCAGTGTATACTAAATATCTGAGTAACTGGAAAGCTAGCCTTCTGTATTATCAAACAAACAGACACAACAAATGCTAATCCTGTGTCGGTCCTATATTTCCACAGGAACAAGCTCATTTTAGTCATCTCATGCCTGGCTTACACAAGATGCAGACACATGGAAACTTCTCAGCTGTGTAGGCTTACTATACATGTCATAGCATGTTTTAAATGCACATTCTACATATGCCGCTTCACCCAGATCATCAATTGCTAGTGTTTCAATGTTAATAAATGCATAGCAAGTACATTTAAAAGTGAGCATGCATGTGTAGAAAGCTACTGAAGAAAGCCAGTGCAGTTACAGTGGTTAGTGTTCGACTAGCAACAAGGTTCAAATCCCAGTCAGCCATGAAGCTCCCTGAGTGACCTTGGGCCTGCCACTTATCACTCAGCCTAACCTACCTCACAAGGTTCTTGCAAGGATAAAAAAGATGCTAGAGAACCTGAGTCCAGAGCTTTTCAGCAGTCTCCAACTCAAAGGCCCTGGGCATAACCCTTCCAGACCAGATCATGTCATGGGTCATAGAGGAGAAGAAATACTGAAATGAGTAATAAGCCTTTTTTCAGATTCATACTTCATGAAGCTTTCAGCTTATTGATACATGCTGAAAAAACAAAAGAAGTTCAACATGAAACCAGAGTTGTATCCTTTTGGGGGGAAAGTGCACATTTATCCAACAGAACTGTTGATGCCCTCTGTAACTACACAGACTTGCAAGTTTGTGTATTTACAGAATTCTGACAAATAATGTTTTATTTGGATGTATTCATTAGTGAATTGGAAAAAGTGAAGAATGATGGTACACATTTTTACTGAAACTTAACGGGACAGTTACACTGGAGCTAGTATCACAGGCCTTCCAGCTATGGACTATAACTTTATTTACCTGAACTGTTCTTTATAATTTTATTAAATATTAGAGCCATTCACACTCTGGCCTGACCAGGAATTACTTAAGTCTCTTGCTTTGCTATGCACAACCATGAATTGGAGAGCAATGGCTACTAGCCATTTTGTCTATGCATCACCTCCAGTTTCAGAGGCACTAAGCCTTGGGATACCAGATACTGCAGAACATGAGCAGCAGTGGCTGTTGCACTCACAGCCTGCTTGCGGCCTCCTCGCTGGCCACTTTCTCAAAGAGAACCCTAGGCTCGATAGGCTTTTGGGCTGATCCAGCACAGCCCCTATGTCCTTATTACATGCCAATAATTCAATTCATGGCTCATAATGTCAGTTCTAATACCTGATCTCAGTATGCAGGTATTTTGCCTGACACTTCTAAAAGAGGTCGCTTAAGCTACATATAACTTGAGAGACAGCAGCATGTGTGAACTGCGAACACCCACGCATGATTCACCCACATACTTGAGAAAACCAGAACAGGCTCTACAGGCACAGCTCTGTAGACAAGCAGAATTCTCAGGTGCAGCTGCAGGAACAACTTCCCTGTCTGAAAATATGTGAACTGACCTTTATTTGGCATTTCTATAAAAGTGCACAGCATACCCAGCAAGGTTTGCATTAAGACTAGAAAAGATTATAATGTTACCAAAGACTATATCAACATAAAACAAAACAAACATTTCCAAGTACCTCTTCTGTAACTTGTTTTCTTATTTTAGAATACATGTAACTTCCTCTTTCAGGTTTTCTCATGAAAATGAAGGATTCGTTTGCTTTTCCATTTGCTGACAAACTTCCATTGCTGCCGTCAAGGGCATTGCTGGGATTGGGACTGGCAAAACCCTCATGTGTAGACCTCAGTTCTGCAGTCTCTGGATGCTGTAGCAGGTTATCCTCTGTGACCATGGTGAAGGTGGCTGCAGTTATAGCAACAGTGGTGCTGTTGCTATTCACAGGAACCTGCTGGTGGTCAGCACTCTCTATTTTTGGCAAATCCTGATTATTCGGATGATCTGTGTTTCCACCTGCAGATTCATCACTCAGGCAACCTGTTTTCTCAAAGTTTGTACTGAAGGTGACATGATTATGATGGTGGTGATGGTGCTCGTGATCTAGGGACATTCTTTTCACCTTTTCAATGCCCATATTCCGTAGCAGTTTTCTAAACCCTTCAATAGTCAATATATTGTTCTCTCCATATCGAGAGAAGAGTTCCTGAAGGTGATGCCTCTGCATATCTGTGGCCAGATCAACATTGATACCAGCTGCCTTCTCCAGAATAAGTTTCTCTGCAGTTTGAAAAGTAGTGGTGCCATGGTTGCGAGCTTCACAAAGCAAGTATACGGAAAGTAAAAGGAGGAAGGCCACAGAAATCTTACTTGCCATAGCAGAGTCCTGTAAGTAGAGAATGACATGAAAAAGATGGCAATTACTCATGTATCCAGTTCTGCAGTTCATTCAGCAGCAAGTACAGCAAATATCTTCTATAAATTATTGAAAATTTTAAAACACCAAATTATAAAGAGACCTTGAATATGCGAAAATGAGGTCAGTGCAGCCAGCCCGCCATGTCTGATTACAGGATGCCCCCACTCCAATACCCCCCAAATTTTCTGTTCCCCCAACAGTAAATCAGCTTTCTGTGCCCACTGAGTATGATGCTTCCACTGCATGGAAGTTGACAACATGGGGTGTGTGGTTCTAAAAAAAGAAACTCTACTTATATAAAACTTAGGATTTGCCCTAACACTGTTGATACTTCCTTGTTATGGATGGGTAAGAACGTAAGAAAAGCCAAGGTGGCTCAGACCAATGGTCCATCGAGTCTAACACTCCATACTCGTGGTAGCAACTCAGCTGTCCACAGGATCCTCAAGCAGGATGGGGGCCTGCCCAAGCTCCTCAGCCCTTGGTGCAGGCAGGCAGGCCACCTCTGCTCAGGCAGCACACAGCCAGCAAGGTTAGTGGCCACTGATAGCCTCCTCCCGATGCATCTGTCCATTCCCTTTGAAATGCCATCCAGATTGGTGGTTATCACCACTTCCCATGGCAGCCAATTCCATAGTTTAACGCTATAGTGTGTAAGTACTTCCCTTGATCTGTCCTAAACCTTCTACCCATCAGCTTCGTAGGATGGTCTCAGGTTTGAGTGTTGTGAGAGAAAAATGTCTCCCTCTCTACTTTCTTCATACCATGCATTATTTTAAACACCTCTATCATGTCTCTCCTTTCTCACCACTTTTCTAAGCTGAACAGTCCCAGTTGTTGTAGCCACTCCTCATTGGGAGCTGCTCCAGCCTGCAGATTATTCCTGTTACCCTTCTGTGTATTTTTTCCAACTCAGTAATGTCTTTTTTCAGGTAAAGTTAACAGAACTCAACATGATATGCCATGTGTGGTTGCACCAAAGGAAGTGAGATTTTGGCAGTTCAATTTTCCATTCCATTCCTAATTATGCCTAGGATAGAGCTTGCCTTCTGCACAGCAGCTGAGCCCTGGGCCGACATTTTCACTGAGCTGTCCACCACCACCCCAAGATCCCTTTCTTGCTCAGTCACTGCCAGTTCCGATCCAATCAGTGCATACTTGAAGTTGGGATTTTTTTTGCATTACTCAACACTTGCCGATATTGAACTGCACTTGCCATTTTGATGCCCATTCTCCCAGCTTGGAGAGATCCCTTTGAAGCACCTCACAATCCCTTTTGGTTTTAACTGCCCTAAAAAGTTTAGTGCCATCATCAAATTTGTCCACTTTACTACCAACTCCTAATCCAGATCCTTTATGAACAGGCTGAAAAACACTGGTCCCAGTACAGAAGTCTGTGGGGCTCCACTGGTGCCATTTCTGCACTGGGAGAATTGGCATATATTCCCATCCTCTGCCTTCTGTTAGTGATCCATAAGAGCACACCCCTTTTATTCCACAACAGCTTAGTCTGGTCAGGTGCCTTTGGTGAGGGACTTTGTCAAAGGCTTTTTAGAAGATGTATTCATCTTAGATAGTTATGGATCCATGTTCAGAATTGTTAACTATTATCAGTAAATCAGAGGGCAAAAAGTTGGTACCAGTGACCTAGGAAACAATCCTATTGATTGACTGCTATATGCTCATAAGCCCTCAAACCTGGAGATTTATAAACACACACTATAGAGCCGGAGAAATGGTGGCAGATATGCTTCAGGAAAGCAGCATCAATTAAAATCTCATGGAATTTCTGACCAGTATTTGTAGGGTTAGGGAAACTTTTGGGCCTGAGGGCCACATTCCATTCCAGAGGAGCTTTCAAAGACTATGTAGAAGTGGCCAAGACTGAAACACTCCCTGCATTCCATTTTAAACCAATTATAGTAGAAAGCTTGTCTACATAAAAGCATAACCACAGTGTCTACTCCCAAATAAGCTGGAGAAGCCTCTGCATCTCTGCTCAGAAGTTAGCAGGGCTCAGTACTGAGCAGCACTTACAAATACCATCCCAAATATCAAGTATAGGCATATCTACTTAGAAGCAAGCACAGTAGGAATCTACAGGACAGTTGGACTCAATCATTCAGCAGCTAGTTTCTTTCCTCTGCCCTGGCACTATCTCTGCTCCATCTGCCTCACAGAAGAAGCTCACACCTTTGGTCAGTAACTGGCCAGAATTAAGTGCCTTTCCATGCAATTACTGAAAAGTTGGGCTTTTTTCAGTGCTAAGGGAAAAACATTTATCTTCAGCTAACTGCTCATCAGAGTTTATCCCTCCCTGACAAAGAAGGAAGAGCCAGAAGCTGCAGGACTGAATGAAGTTCCACATTCCTGCTTTACAGGCTACCTTTCTAGACAAATGGAACCTTCAAATAATTTAGAAAATAATAAATTACAGTTCATTGAAACTATAGTATAATCTCTGAGAGAGAGAGAATCAAGTTTCCAAACAAGATGCAAAATCATGTATCAGCAATCTTCCATCTTTACTACTTGCCCGTACAGGTAAAGTCTTTACCTGTCTTCTAAAACTGGACAAGACTTAACTGTTAGACCCAGATTCTAAAGTCTCAGTTCTGTGATACTAAAGGCTTTGTTCTGCCTTTCAATTTGTCCTCAGCAATGTAACCTGAAGCAATGTCTCTCATAGACTTCTTTAAATTACTGATTCCAAGCTATTAAGTGCTTTATAGGTAATTATCACCAGTAACAACATGAAGAAATGATGTAATTACTTGAAGTTGCGCCTAGACATGTAATGAAGAACTTCAGTAGGTGATGAGGTGATGCTAGATGGAAAACCTGCAAACCTTTCCTCTTTGGTGGCTCTGGACCCCTCCAATACCAACTAACCAACAAATCAAAAAAGCAATTCTCTTTCACAGTCCCTATCTATCTCCTGCTATAACTACCACAGACAATCTAATGATAGCTACGTAGTTAGAATCTTAATGAATTCTCATAAAGTGATGTTTCAGACAAAAATACCTTTTCACTTGTGAATAAGTTATGTCCTTCCTTTAATTCTGTACCCCAAGATTTGCTCTTTCCTTGATCTCCCATTTTCGTTTATAAAAGGAAGCCTGTACATGACCAGATATTCTAACAAGTGTTTTTAGATTTTTTATTGCTGTATTTGTTGTTTTAAACCTGTTTTATCATGTGAATTTATTTGAATTTTTTGATGGTGGGTAGCATTGAAATACCATTATTATAATGCATTTATATCCCACCTTTTTCCCACTTGTGAGGAAATCAAGGTACTTTACATAGCTCCATTTTATCTTCACAACAACAACCCTGTGGGCAGATTAGGCTGCGAGTGAGTGACTGGCCCAAAGTCGCCAAGTGCATTTCAAGGCTGTGTGGGGCTAGAACCTGGATAATCAAAAGAACAAAAGCATCGAACAATTGGAAAGTTGCATTATGGAACAATATGCATCCTACTGCTGATCACTCTATTTCACATTCAAGAAGCTTGTTTCCTTGATCATGCATTTGCAAGGAATTTTGCTTTCTATGCAGCAGATGTTTATCCATGTTGTTGTTAGTCGAAGTGTCTTCCACTATCCACCAGAGTCCACTCAAGCTCACGCCAACTGCTTCAGTGACTCCATCTAGCCATGTCATTCTCTGCCGTCCCCTTCTTCTTTTGCCATCTGTTGTTCCCAGCATTAGGCTCTTCTCCAGGGAGTCTTTCCTCCAGGGAAAGTTTATCCATACTTCATGTTTAAGTGTTCTGTGTAAACTCAAAATCCTCCACATTCTATGCTGACATGATCTGCTCCCTTAAGAAATATAATTTTGCCTATTTAGTATCTAAGTAGAGCTCAGTAATACCAATCACTGAACTGAACAAGAGAAAGGAATGTATTTCTCATGACAAGAACACATGGAACAGTGGTCTAGCAGCCTTCCTCAAAGCAGTACCCTCCAGATGCTTTGGACTGTATAAACCATCAATCCCAGTCAGTCTAGCCAACAGGCAGGGATAATGGCTGTTGGAGTAGAAACAACCCAGGACAAGTTAGAGATGGATGATTTGGCAACATCTTGAAAGGCTGTGAACCCCAGAGTCCAACCTATGCGCATGGGCCCAGAAGTACCATGACATATATTTCTATTACTTACTGCATCAATGTGGCAGAGGTCTGCACAGATTATATACGAGCCCTTACTTCTCGCACATCACCTTTCTTAAACACTTTGCCTATTGATAGTGGATGCTCGGGGTTCTTTCCACCTACTTCCAAGCGATCCTCCAGCTACTCAAAGCCTAGCTGAGCAGCAGCCCAGGGAGGCGGCGGCGATAAGGCCACGTGGAAGGTCGCGGCTCCCGTCCCGCAGGTTCTCCGCGGGCGGCGCCCACCCACGACCAGAGGCAGCGCGCCCAGGGGTCCAGCGCCTTGGGCGAGCTCTGCCCGAGCGCCCCTCGGGCGGGCCACGCCTCGCCTCGCCTCGGCCACGAAAGCGGCTCCTGCCAGCGCACCCCGCGGAAGCCCAGAGGGAAGCTCCGCAGGCCCGGGGGGTAAGACCTCTCCCGCCCAGCCTGATCCGCCGGGGGGCAGCCCCGAGCGCCAGGCGCGAAGGCAGCCGCCGCTTCGCCCCAGCGCCGAAGACAGAGAGCCTCCGCCCGTGGAGGCTTCGCGGCTGGCCCCGCCGCGTCCTCCTCCGCCGCCCACCGCTTCGCCTCCGCCGCCGGCCCGCCCGTGGAGCGCGGGGAGAGGGGGGGTCTGAAGGAAGGGACGGGCGCGGGCGGGGCCTGCGCGTCAGGCACACGCCGCCGCCGCGCTGCTCCCCTCGAGCCCGGGCGGCCCGCGACGCCCCGGGCCCCTTCCCTCGGGATGGACGGGGACGCCCCCGGCGCCGAGCAACCGGGCAGGGCCCTCCGGCAGGCACACTCACCGCACGCAGGGCGCCGCCCGGCCGGCCGGCGCGCTCCCCTCACGCGGCGCCCGCTCCCCTCAGAAGCGCGGGGGAGACCGCAGCGCCCCGGCCTACGAGCACAGAAGGATTCAGCGCCCCGAAAACGGCGAATCCGGAGGCGCAGGGCTGTCACGAGGCTGCCGGAGAGCCAATCGGGATGGCGCAGCTGCCCACGGGCCGCGTCAGGGTTGGAAGGGGACGGTGAGGGGGAAACGGCAGACAAAGGGGTCTTTTACGCCGCAGACTACGTGGGGCGCAGGGGGCGTGCTGCGCGTGCGCGAGCCGGGGGTGGCGGGGTCGGGCGCTTGAAACACTGGAGGAGTGGAAGGTCAATTGCGGGAGGGCGTGTTCCTTTCTTTCTTGATTTGGGGGTCTCTTTGTTGCATCGATCCTCATTTTAAAACATGCGGAAATTTACACCGCATTTACACATTAAGTCCCACACACGCACTTAATGAAAGTATCCAAAAATGGGAACAGGTAAAAGTCAGAACCAGCTTCATATTGTTACACGGGATCCAAATTAAGCTATATCCAAATCTTGGAGCGCGCTTGTGCCAATGGACTGAGCCATGAAAGGTCACGGGTCCTCTTTTCCCTTTCTGGCAGTTTGATAGAAAAGTTTCGCTTCCCTGTGCTTGAGCTTGTTGGAAAAATTCAGATAAATCCTGGCAGGAAAGCGTTGCTTCGCTGTGCCTTTGTCTTATAAAATCAAACCTGCACCCCTTTCTCAGAAAGCACCCGATTTCCAAGCCAGGTTACTGTTTAGCATTTGCTGTTACTTCAAGAAGCGGGAGCTGATTTTCTGAGGTACTGATAGCCTGCCTAGGAGCTCCCAGGGCTATTGTTTTGCTGTTCAGTAAGAACTGATAAGGCTGCCAGGTTAGCAGCATTGGAATCACCCTTATTTTCATGCTAAGACTCACAGTAATCCCTGTGCCTCAGTGCTCCTTATGTTAATCCCCTGCAGTCAAATGCCATTGTATTGCGGCCCCTGTGCAGACCTCTCACCTCTTCTGTGTTCACTTTATTTTGTCATCAGCTGCCCAGCTGCTGGGCCCATGAGACCCAGAATCTATCAAACACTCTGTGTATGTTCTAAAATCTTGTAGTTGGCATGGAGACCACTACCCGGTCTCATGCTGTTGTAAGTAACTGCAGGGGTCGTGGGTGATCTTTCAATAAAACTGCTGAGGTTCAAGGCGAAAGGGTCCTTTCCTGACCAAATCCGGTTATCCTGTCTCGCGGCTGCCATCAAGGCTTCCCAACAAGCTCTAAGTCTCTTTGCTGAGGTCTCGACCCAAAGAGCGGATTTAGCTGTTCCCAAAGACTTGCCCCAAGTTGTAAGGCCTGTTTATCAGTAATAGACCGAAATTGACTTTTTGTGTGTGTAAGTGAAATACGCAAGAGAAACTGTGCAGGTGAAATTGCAGTTGTGCTTCAAAGCATGCACAGGGAAGAGGGTTGGCTGGAGTCTGTCTGCTTGACTACCCACTGGTAAGATAAGTGTGCATTGTGGTAAATGAGCGTGTCCTACCTTCAAAGGCTCACAGTGGGCAGAAGGAAAGATCAAAGTGTAGATGGGGAAAGAGCAAGATGACTGATGATTGATAGGTGGCTCTTAAAAGCATAACAGCATTTCAATTATTAGTAAGATGCTGTTCTTGTTTGGAAGGGCAGACTGCCCTGCAAAGCTGCATCCACGCTTCAATACAGCACTTTTTGGTAATTTTTTTTTTGTCTTTTGTGGTTCAACAAATGAACCTGGCTGATGTGGGATTAGAATCCCTGGCAAAATCAAGGTGTGAGATGCTTCCAAAAAGCAGCCCTATATGGAGCTGTATCCCCGTCCTGTAATCGTGCATATGAGAAACGGAGTCTCACAAATGCCCATGGGGTTTCGCATGGTGCTCCTAAAATTTACTGTTGTGTTGCACTTTATACTATTATTCTTGGTGTGCACTGTGGACCCAGCATGCTGTGCCACATCCTGGTGCAAAACTTGGGTTGGAAACAGGGCTGTCTTGTTGATTCTTGTAGGAAAATCCCAGTATGCACTCACAGGTCACATTTACTAGGACACATTGCGTTAGAAGCTGCCGCTGCTTTGTAATGACCACTGTTAATAATGTGATTCCTGGGATTTCCGGCATTTAATTTTTCTTGGACCTTACAATTCCCACACCAACACTTTATAGGCTGTATATGAATCTGGAACTTTTTACATGGTATTTCATGCATCTGATGAAGTGGGCTATAATCCATGTTCTTATACCAGAACTGATCTTTTAAAAGCCACAATATTCTGTTGTTTTTGCTACAATGGACAGAATCTTTCTCTATTGTGACCTAGCTAGGATACGCTTTGGAAATGGTTATTACTGCGATCCTGCAAAATTTAGAGCCAAGCGGAAATTTGAACCCTTTCCAAGGGCTTTTGAAGTGACAGCGTGAGGCTATTTTAATAGCTTGTGATAGAACGTTTTGATTCGGTGCAGGGGAGGAGTATTGGAAAATAGAATAGAATTGCAATCAGACAGACCTCGATGACTATCCCTTTCCACAGTTAACACTGATTCAAAATTGGTGCTTGTGCATTGAAATGCAGCCTAGCTATCCAAAAGTTCTGGCCCAGCCAGCATTGCATTTTATGCCAGGGCTCAAGTGATTGACAGTCCTGTATACACTTTCCAGCTAATCAGCCACTTTAAATCAGTGGAACTGACTTCTGAATAAATTTGTACTGCACGTTACTCAAAAGATACTGGTGGACAATCCAGTGCAATTAAGCATTGCAAAGGCTGTTTTCCTACCCACTTAACTGTAAGTAAATGCCTATATTAGGCCTTATTTCTAAGTAGGGAGACACAAGGTTGCACTGTAATTTTCATTTATTTCAGTGGAAGAGTTAAGCATTTGTTTAAATCTCTCTCACTGAAATAATTAGGACTGAAAGGTGCTTAGCTTTGGCTGGATCGGGTCTATAATGAGTATTTAGGCATAATTAGTTCCAGAAAGATTTATGGACTGAACAATCTTAAATTGTAGTGTTTTGATTTAATAAGGCTATGGATATAATGATAGGGAAAATAATAAACAAACAGCCATTGACAAAACCAGTCATTAAAAGTAATATGCAACACTGGTATGCTTTGTAAACAATTATCACTGGCTGTAATGCTTTAACTTCTGAAGGAGTTTTTACATGCAGAAGTGCTAAAATACACATTATTGATCAAAGCAAATGTTATCAGTGGTGCTTACGTCAAAAGAAGTCCCAGCTGATCTGTTTGTCAACTTGTTGGCAGAAACAATGGCATCGCATTTTGCTAAAGAAAGGGGCCAGTGGGGAGATCCACAACTCAGGAAAAGTAAGTGACAGTCACCTCTTCTCTCGTCAGGTGACTAATGTTCACAAATATTTGTTGTACCCATGTGTACATTTTTGTCTCCTCCTTGTGCACCTGACACATTTATCCAGTCTCTCTGAGAAAAAGAGAAGTCACTTCTTATTTTCTACCTTTGCTGTTTATTTTTGCTTCTCAAGGCTAACATTACTATGTTGGTAAGATAAAATGCATAAATATATCTTTACTGCAATATTTAGGGGCAGGTTGTAACTAGAATTTCTACACATGGTGATTCAATAGATGTATTTATTTGTATTTTTTAGATATCTAATCAACTGGATTGCAATGTTTGGCTGAGAAAGCTGGACCATAAGGAAGGCTGAGCGCCAAAGAATTGAAGGCTTTGAATTGTGGTGCTGGAGGAGACTCCTAGAGGAGATCAACCCTGGCTGCTCTTTAGAAGGCCAGATCCTGAAGATGGAACTCAAATACTTTGGCCACCTAATGAGAAGGAAGGACTCCCTGGAGAAGAGCCTAATGCTGGGAACAAGAGATGGCAAAAGAAGGGGACGGCAGAGGATGAGGTGGCTAGATGGAGTCCCTGAAGCAGTCGGCGTGAGCTTGAGTGGACTCCGGGGGATGGTGGAGGACAGGAAGGCCTGGAGGAATGTTGTCCATGGGGTCGCGATGGGTCGGACACGACTTCGCGACTAACAACAACAACCAACTGGAATGTATACTTTTCCGATGCATACAGTGCAATGTCACCTACAATATAGTTTACTTGCTATAGTTTGTATATCCTTCACCTTACGGATTTTTCATTCACCTTTTAGGTTCCTCTTGCTTTAGTAGTT